CTTATCTAGGAAGCACTGTTTCAACTACAGGCGGGACAGACGAGGACGTCAAAGTCAGAATCGGAAAAGCAAGACAGGCATTCATTAGCCTGAAACCAGTGTGGAGATCTTCTGCACTCAGCATGCGGAACAAGATACGGATTTTCAACACCAACGTCAAGTCAGTGCTCTTGTATGGCTCAGAGACTTGGCGCGTCACGAAAGGTATTTCCAATAAACTACAGACATTCATCAACAACTGCTTACGCTCGCTGCTGAAGATCAGATGGCCAGAAAGAATAAGCAACAAGGAACTCTGGGAACGAAGCAACCAAGAACCTATCACGCAACAAATATGCAGGAAGAAGTGGAGATGGATTGGGCATGCACTGAGAAGGCCGACTGAGGACATCACGCGTCAGGCCCTCGAGTGGAATCCCTATGGGAAGCGACGAGTTGGACGTCCGAGGGTGACATGGAGGAGGTCATGCGAGGAGGAAATGAGAGCTTCTGGGCTGTCGTGGAACCAGGTTCAAAAGATCTCAGAGAACAGAGGTCACTGGAGGCGTGCTACTGAAGCCCTATGTTCCACTCGGAACCCAAGGGACTAATAATAATAATAAATAATAATACCTATTCTCCTCCACCGTTCCACGTGGATCCTTCCTAATCTGCCAAAAGGGACTACTCTCTCTACCGTATCTCGGGACATAAGGCCAAACGTTTTTCAGTTCTCAAGCGATGCCAAGAATTTGATGCGCCAAACTTCAACCATTCATCATACTTGGTTACTTGGTACACTGGAATTTTTTTGGAAATGAATTCGCTGTGCATTATTAGGCAAATGAACTGCGTCATGGATGGAGGACAGTATGAAACCTTTGCGAAAAGTAGACAATAGTATCCCAGTCAAATAATCTCAGAAAAAGAGAGGTAATCTAAAAACACAAATGAGACGAAGGCTGGATAATAAAGATGAAATTAAAAGCGGCGTACCTGAAGGATGCTGCAGGTCATTACAAAGTGTGAGTGCACGTTCTAATTTTTAACTGGAAGGTAGTATTCACTGCTAAATGTCACAGAATGGAGTAGTATGCATTTTCAGCATAAAGCGATCAAGACTAGTTGCAGTCTATCTCAGTGATGTAATTCTTCGAAATCAACTGCCCATTGTTCGAGGAGACGAAACAACAATTCTGGCCATCATATTTTCAACGGGCTGGTCGAGCTGGAGGCACACTGTCAGGCATCCATGCCGTTTTCACGTTTTCCTGTTACGCTGCCATTCGTACGCGATCCTCTACTCAATTAGTCAAAGCGTTGCGGCATTCTGGCACGGTTCATCGGACAAGCCAATCCTTCCTGGTTACCCCTTCACGTTCATCCCTGGTAATATGCTGGCGGTTTATTCTACAAGTACGAAAGGTAACTGAGCGGTGTCTTTATCCGTCAGCTTAGACTGAGAGTGTTTTCGTGGTCGGGCACCTCTATGTACCGTGAATCATTGTACGATCCCATGAATTATTGTATGAGAACACTTCTGTGTGGCCATGGAATATCCCCCCTGTGGTCTAGAGTTCTATTTTCGTGACGTCTTGTTCTACTCAATAAGACTATTCTGTTCCTCATCTTACATGCTACGTTTATATGCCTTATTATAATCTTGTGCGACAACTTCGCCATCACTGAGTATTGGAACGTTACATCTGTCGACTTGTAATAGATAAGAAGGTAGAGTTAATACGAATTAGAGCAGAATGAAAGTAAATGGAGTGGAATGGGACAAACAAGTGTTATTTACTAAAATGTCAAAAAATAATAAAGTGGTGTGGAGTTCAAGCGGCAGAAAACCACTGGGTTCCTCCATGCATGCAATAACTTTACGGTCTAAATCGTGGTGGATGATCAGAAATTGTGGGCGAAAATTTAAATACCAACCTTTCGGTTTATGTCTACCGTTCTACACTAGCAATTCAATTTAACTTAGTCAACGATAGTCACTTATTCTTGCAAATACAGATAGTCATCAGTTTACAGGCGTGATTATGTATTTAAGCCAGTTTAGCAGTTCTGGCTCAATACAGCTACATAGCTTGCAGATAACTAGCAGGTTTAAAGAGGTAGAGTTAATGCACACTATACAACAAGAAAACGGATATCTAAAGTTCTGACACATATCAATTCTTCACAAGAATGGATCTTATTCGTATCTCCCGAAAGAAAGGAATATGGGATGAATGTTAATTGCGCCATTGGAAGAAATCAACACATTACATATAAAGAGGTGAGAGCATGCACGCCATATAGCTTCTAGACACAATCACTTACCTGATTGATTGTGTCTTAAACGTTGAATGCAGCATAATATGTTTAACTACGAAATAAGTAGAAGTTCATTTAGTTATGGTTATGGAAAAATGAAATAATTTGAGTCCAAAATGAAGAGGTGATATGCGGCTTAGCATGTAAATTTAGCCACTTGTACTATAATTATTTGTCCTTCGGGTTCCTAGTGGAACATAGGGCTTCAGTAGTAGCACACCTGCATTCCACTCTCTTCTCTACAGTCCTTTCAACCTGGCGCCACGACTGCCCACAAGCTCTCATTTCTTCCTCACATGATCTCCTCCATGTCACCCTCACCTGGGACGCCCAACTCGTCGCTTCCCCTTTGGATTCCACTCGACGGTCTGCCCTGGTGCGTGATGTCCCCAGTCGGCCTTCTCAGTGTATCCCCAATCCAACTCATCTACACTTTCTTCTGCATGTTTGTTGGGCGAAGGGTTGTTGGTTGGTTCGTTGCCAGTCAGAGGTCCCTGTTGCTTATTCTCTCTGCCCATCCATCTGATCTTCAGTATCAAGCGTAGGCAGCTCTTGATGAATGTCTGTGGTTTGTTGGAAATGCTTTTTGTAACGCGCCAAGTTTCTGAATCATATTGAAGCACTGACTTGACTGACGTTGGTGTTGAAAATCTGGATCTTATTCATGCTTTATACTGAGTGCAGCAGTTCTCTACACTGATTTCAGATTGATGAAAGCCTGTCTTGCTGGTTTTCCGATCCTGGTCATGACATTCTCGTCTGTGCAGCCCTCTGCAGTTGAAAGGATGCTGCCCAGGTAGATGAAAGACTGCTGCCTAGGTATGTAGGTGAAAGAGACTACTTCCTTTAGGTTTCTCCCGTTAATGGTGATTGGTGCTTGTTGTTGATGCTGTTGTTGTTGGTTGAGTATCTTCATCACCTCTGTCTTCTCCACATTCACTTGAAGTCCCGTTTTCTCTGTCTCTTCGGTCAACTTGTTAGTCTTCGCCTGTAGATCTTCGAGTTTGTGCGACAAGACATTGGACATAAATGATCATCGAGGGCGGAATCCAAATCTTTTTCTGAGGTCCTTTCATCGGTCCAGCCAGCGTATGTCCATCTTCTCGCTCCTCACGGTTTGCTGCATGATCCAGTCCAGTCGAACACAATCAAGAATGTCATGGGTGATAGTAGGCAGCCTTGTTTCACTCCTGTCTTCACTTCAAAGGCGTCAATGAGCTTTCCATTGTGGATCACTTGGCATGTGGCGTCTTCACATAGCTGTTGAATGAGGTTGATAAAGATTAGTGGCACACCACAGTGTTGAAGCAGTTTCCGAATTACTTCTCGGTCGGCGCTGTCGAAGGCCTTCTCAAAGTCGATGAAGTTGAGGTAGAGAGTTGACTGCCATTCTATACTCTGTTCTATGATGATGCGTAGCATAGCGTTGCAATTTCATCCACACATGATTTGTTCCTCCCGAAGCCAGTCAGCCAGCCAGCCAGCCAGCCTGTTCCGGTCGTAGTTTTGAATCCAGTGCATCTTGTAGTCTCTCCAGGATGATGTGGCATCATAATTTGCTTGGGGGTGGACAGCAGCATGATTCCTCGCAAGTTCTTGCAAACACTGAGGTCTCCCTCCTTCGGGAGTTTGACGAGGTAGCCCTTCTTCCAATCAATCAGCAGGTACCTTCCCTTCCTTCCTTGCAAACCTTCTGCAGTAGTGGTGTGAGCATGTTCGCTGTTGTCTCTGAGCCTGTTCTCAGTGCTTCAGGACGAATTCCATCTGGTCCTGCTGCTTTCCCACATTTCAGTAGCTTTCTGGCATTCAAGATTTCTGCTTTTTTTGGAGGGCATGTGTTCACCGGTAATTCGTTTGCTGAGCTGCAGGTGGTATCTCTGGACTGGTTACAGTTAGTGGTGGTGGTCGATTCAAGAGCTTTTTGAAGTGATCAGCCCATCATTCCCATCGTTTCCGTTTGTCGGCAACTAGGTTTCCTTCACCGTCTCTCATTGGTTTCATCTGTGTTGATCTTTTCTCAAATAGTAGGCTGGTTATTTGATATAATGTTGTTGGGTCTCCCCTACCAGCCGCCTGTTCTGGAATGAAATTTATTAGGTTTAAAATACAAAACATATCGTCATGAGATATCTATAGGGATTTTCGTAGATATAACAAGTCTTCGAAAACTTTGATTCGAACATCCTCCACTCAGCAAAAATTTCACCGTTGTTATAAATGATGACAAATTGGACGATTGATACAGGAATGGGTCATTTGGAAGTATTATCTAGACGCATAACTGTAAGCCTTCATGACAACGAAGAGGCTTAGTGTAATAATTTTAAAGAATCTGTCAAGAATTGTAAACAGACCGCCAATCATCTTAGCATCTCTGCAGATTCTGGATATACCCAGTCGATAAACTGCAAAGAGAGACAACCAACAAACAGTCACATTTCCTAGAATCAAATGCATTTAAGTAAGAAGGATATTCATCATGGGAGTAAAAGCAAACAAAAGCGATTCCGCTCCTGGAGTAAGGAGGACAAAAGCTGTAAGTTTCTATGCCCAATTACATAAAGTTACATAATGAAAAATTAGTGCGGTCTTCTTGAAAAGAAGTGCTATTGCCGTGTCTTGGTCGCTAGATTAAGAATAAGTCGGATGGCTACCTGAGACTATCTTAGATTGCGTTTACTTATTTATTAGAAACAAATATGGATATAAAATCTGGTGATGATTTAATTGGAGTAGATTTTGATGTGAGATTTAACGCTCTGCTGATTGTTGTTTATATATAGGTAGACATTCCTATTGAACGAAATGTGAAGAAGCGGACAAAATTCTCAGAGGCTAAGAAGTATAGATCGACTCATTCTATTAAAATCTCTGTGATCAATAAACGGAGCAAAATACCTAAGCCTGTCAAGTCATTTCGAAGCCCGTCGTGTCATTTCAATGATGTCATTCTGCATAATCTCTCCGATTTGGCGTATAAAACTCCAACACCAATACAAGCTCAGGGCATCCCTATTATGATGCAGGTAAGTTGCTGATGTTTGATATTCAATACCTACTTCTTTCATGTGTAAGTTAAAGTATACCACTCACGTCAGAGACGCATTTATATTACTCGTCTCCTTGAACTCTCGAAAACATCTGTCTGAATTGCTAAGTATGTATCATATAATGGTCAAAATGATTTTGTGTGCAGATTATATCCAAGTGTAACTGATATACCATAACACATGCTTAATTTCGTCGAGAACATTTCCATGAGGTTTTGTGTTTAAAACAATGATTCTATATTTTCCTTATTGTTCCTTCCGTTGGCAAGATCTTAGTCAAAATACTGTTAAAGCAATACCTAACCTGTAATACTTTACTGCAGAGTGCTAAAGCAACAAATATGAAAACCTATCCGTTTTCCCACTGTCATTCTCATCGGTCCTATCTTTTCGCGCCGCTATTTCAGATAGCCTGATTATTACCACTATTCATTTTCTCCTGAGGTTACCCATACTAAGATGCGCAAATCACCATAGAAATTTTACCAACACTTCATCCACCCAGAAATGCACTGATTCTATTCGCTAGTGATTTGGAAATACGAGTACCCGCCCACAGTTCGACGAAATAGTCCCTTACGGACGACAGAGTTCTCTAATTGTGTCTCTGATCACTTGGTTCAATTTTTGGTGGTATATGGCACACTGCACAGCATATGTTGGTCATTTAACCGAAGACTTACAGTTGCATCTCATTAGCGTTAACACTGACTTCATGAGGCACCTTGTTTTATTTCAGTCGTTCAACTTTCCTTGTTTATTATCAGCTTGATGAATGGAGAGACTTAACACCTAAAAGCTATGTCAGTCCAGAAAATCCATCTTGGTAGCCAAAAGCCTCTACCTGTAGCCGTGGCGGGTGTCGCAGGGTACTTTTCGAAGGGGATAAGAGCCTGCATATAACCTCACCCTTCATAATGAACCGTTAAAACTAGTCGAAAGGTTTTTGTAAATGGGTACTTACATGTTCTGATGAAACTATGACGGTTCGGATTTCCACCCAAAACCAAAACCAGAATGACACGTGCAAATCTTGGTCACCTCCAGTAACGATATGACGTTAAGCTGGTCATGAAACAAGCAGATCTTAGAAATCTCTCTTAGGTGAAGGTGTCCCGTGACTCAGCATGTTGAATCACCGTTGTATCTCAAGAACTGTGCGAACGTGGTGTATTAGTGTCAGGTAATACACTACGTTCGCACGGTTCTTAGTGTCAGGTGTCGGCGACCATACCACGTTGAAAACACCGGTTCTCGTCCGATCACCGAAGTTACCCGACCGATAGCTGCTACCTTGACGTGGTGGTCGGGCTTGCATATCACAATGACCCAACGAGCTATGCTGGTGGAACGCTTGTTCCCTCGAGGTCCTACCATACCAGAAAGGTCTGTTGGGTAGTGGTTAGACGAAAAGCAGTTACCGTTATAGTGTAAATTGCTACACTATGATGGGGGTCTGAGGGCGAAGTCGTACTGCTGCTAGCTGGATGGGGTGTGACAGCAGTAAGGTGTTTCCCTTGGATGACCAGCAGTGCCAAGCTGATGCTGCCTTCTCAGTGGAAGGGGGGTTAGAAAAGGTCGGCCCCAAAAATAACACACTCCACCACGCCCCACGGTCTGCCGGGCCGGCGGTGTTGGTTCACTTGTCGTTTCCTTTCGACCATCCGGCCCCAAAAATACAAAAATTCAAAATAATCATACTCAAAAGGCTGGGTGTGACAGGCCTCAAGCAGATGTCCGATGGGCTCTGCGGTCACACAAATCTCTTTCAGGTACCTTAAGAAGAAATAGCCTTCCACGGTGTGGGCAGCCGGGAAGTGTCAACCGCCCTCACAACTCTGTCAGCACCCAAGTTTCTTCTGACTGCTATCCTCCTCCTCCATCATTACCTTCTAATCTTCCTTCACGTCTCTTAATTAATGATGCTGCATCATCTTCAATTTCTCCTACCTCTGCAGCCTTCGACAACGATCTGAGTCCACAGAACAGCATCCCTGGTCTCCTTAAACCACGCTCCAAATTACATATTGGAGCCTTCAATGTCCGCACCCTCCGTCAAATTGGCCAACAGGCTTCGTTGGCAAAGACTCTAGCAACTCGGGCATGGATGTGTGCTGTGTTTGTGAGACACGCATACAGGACCCAAGTGTGGTTATTCACCTGACCTCTCCTGACCAATCTGGTGAATCTGCAAAATTCACCCTTCGAGTTTCTGGAGATTCGATAGCTAGCTCTCGTGGTCTTGCAGGTGTAGGTATAGCATTAAGCACCAGGGCAGAAAACTCACTACTAGACTGGATCCCAGTTGATAGTCGCCTCTGCGCTATGAGGCTGAACGGCACAGTGAGAACTAAAAGGAATAGTGAGACTCGCCGTTGTCTCTTTGTAATCTCTGCTTACGCACCCACTGACTGTAGTTCGGATGAAGTGAAGGACGAGTTCTACCATAAACTGTCTAACCTCCTCTCGAAAGCCAAACGTTCGGACGTAGTGGTTGTTGCAGGTGACCTCAACGCACAGGTGGGTAGACTGAGTGAGGCAGAAAGGCACTTAGGTGGCACTTTCGGAATCCCAGCTGAACGTACAGATAACGGTGATCGCCTATTACAACTATGCTCAGATAACCGCCTATTTTTAGCCAGCACAAATTTCAGACATAAAGAAAGGCACTGTCTGACCTGGCGTCCACCGAGCTCGACTCAGCGATGGACACAGATAGACCACATTGCTATTAGTCATCGCTGGAGAGGATCGGTGGAAGACTGCCGCTCCTTCTGGAGTACGTGTTTGGACAGCGATCATGCGTTGGTCCGAGCACGTATATGCCTGCGTCTCAATGGACGTAGAAAAAATTTGGCAACAAAACCACTACGAGTTCTGCTGGACAACGAAAACACCAAAGCCGTGTTCAGTGAGAAGTTGGCTAGGCAGTTATCGGAACAAAAGACTGTCACTCATCCAGAAGAAGCTTGGTGCCATCTTCAGTCTACTGTAAAAGCAGCACTGGAGACTGTAGCCGACTCCAAGATAATGGCTAAAAAGAGCCAGTGGATATCAGCAGCTTCTTCCAAACTAATGGATGCACGTGAATGCATCCCTGCAGGCTCTGAGTACAATGAAGAGCGAGCGCAACTTAAAAATAAACTGACGAAAAGTCTGCGCAACGATCGTGAACAGTGGTGGGCAGCAAAGGCTAAAGAGATGGAAAAGGCAGCGGCGATCGGTAACAGTAGACAGTTATTTAGACTTATTAAGGAGACTGGGGGGAAATGGTCAACAACAGTTAGTGAGGTTATAGCGGAGAAGGACGGATCGGCGATTCACTCGCAGGGAAGGCGACTGGGACGATGGGCAGAACACTTTGAGGAACAGTTTAACTGGCCTCCAGCCACCATTGCGCTGCCCGCTATCCAGTCGGACCCTGAATGGGACATAGAGACAGGTCCCCCAACACTAGAAGAAGTTGAGAAAGCGGTAGGTAGCCTGAAACGGGGAAGGGCAGCAGGACCAGACGGACTACCTGCTGAGGTATACAAGAATGGTGGTAGAGTTCTCTTAGTCAGGCTAACGGAAGTGTTAGCCAGTATATGGGAATCAAATACGATCCCCTCCGACTGGTCTAAGTCACTCATCATCCCAGTCTTCAAGAAAGGCGAGAAGTCCTCTTGTGATAACCACAGAGGAATCAGCCTGACAAACATAGTGTCTAAGATCCTAAGTTCTATAATTCTCCGACGCCTGAGTGGAGCTCGGGAACAGCAAGCCCGAGAAAACCAGGCAGGCTTTAGACCTGGCCGTGGATGTATCGACCAAATATTCACACTGCGCCAGGTCCTGGAACATAGGCATGCTTACAGACGCCCGACAATAGCTGTATTTCTCGACCTGAAGGCGGCATTTGACTCCGTTGATCGAGAAGTCTTATGGCAGTGTCTGTCACTGAAAGGCGTGCCTAGTAAGTACATCACCTTATTGAAAGCTCTCTACTCGAACACTTGTGGGCATGTTAGAGCCTATGGTGAGTTGTCCAGGGAGCTATACTCATCAAGTGGTGTCCGTCAAGGATGCCCACTATCCCCATTCTTATTTAATTTTATCATAGATATTCTTATGGAGGTTTCCCTCTCGTCACCTAATTACAAAGACGTTGACCGATCACAGGTGAATTTTCCTTAGATCTAGAATATGCAGATGACATAGTCCTGTTAGGTGAAGACGCTGACAAGATGCAGAGTCTTCTGAACACTTTGAGTGGGAATTTGAGAATGTTTGGGATGCGATTTTCACCACCCAAATGCAAATTTTTGCTCCAGGACTGGTCTTCAGCGGTACCGCGGTTAACAATAGAGAGTGAAGTGGTTGAGTGTGTTGACCACTTCACTTACCTGGGAAGTAGGATCAACCCGGTGGGTTAGTTGCCGATGAGATTTCTGCACGGATACAAAAGGCTCGATTGGCTTTTGCCAATTTGCGCCACCTATGGCGCCGCCGTGATATTCGTTTGTCTATTAAGGGTCGCGTGTACTGCACAGCAGTCCGCTCTGTTCTACTGTATGGCTGTGAAACATGGCCATTGAAAGTGGAGGAGACAAAAAGGGTTCAGGTGTTTGACCACCGTTGCCTTCGTAGTATAGGACGTATTCCGTGGTGTCACCATGTGAGTAATGCAGAAGTTAGGTGTAGAGTTTTAGGGAGAAGAGGTAAGTCAGTCGACGAGGTTGTGAACCTTCATCGACTGAGATGGTTGGGACACGTACTACGTATGCCTAGTCACCGATTGCCTCGTCACACAATGTTGGCTGAGGTGGGTTCAGGCTGGAAAAAGGCCCGAGGTGGCCAGACTAAAACATGGCACCAATGTATGAAGTCTCTGACTGTTGGTTTAAGCCATGTAGGACGATGCAGACTAGGTGGTTGGGGTCCACGGGACAAGAGGAACCAGTGGTTGGAGACCCTAGGTGATATGGCTCAGAACCGAAGTCAGTGGCGCAGATGTATACACACATTATCCTCATCTTAACAACGCTATACCGAATCTCACTATTTTGTCACTCCTCTTTCCTTTCTTCTCGTACTTTATATTTCTTTTGACTGCATTCACTTATCTTCATCCTTCACCTCACTACCTTTTTACTTGATGTGCTGATATGAGGTGTGGCAACTCGGACCGTTACGCAGTAATGCCTGGTCCTATGTTGATGATAATAATAATAATAATAATTAGTGTCAGGTCCTTCCAGTGCTTGTTTGGTTTTGATGGTGTCGTAATCAGTTGAATGATTTCATTTTAAAACAAGCTTTGTCGGCTTGGATATGTTGTAAATGTCGTTTCAGCCGTTTCAGTATCGCTCAATATAAGTTACCCTTGATATTTGTGTGAAGTAGCGGGAAAGTGGTCAATTTTTGGCGCTGTTATGGTTATTTGTGTTGCTTCAGTATTTATTGGTTCATCACGACTCCCTGAGTGGGGTTCATGTGACAGTGACCTAAGATGTTATCAGATGTGGCTTAGGATCACAAACAGTGGTCGTTATGCTGCAGCCTTTTCATTTCTTTTGTTGCCAAAATGTAAAACGAAATTGATGAAAACTCTTTCAAATGTATATTTTTAACTCATTGCCTTGACAATCCATTTACCTTTCTCGTTTTGTTTCTTTCCTCTGTCACCTTTATATCTTAATAGTGTAGTTATGTTATTTGGTGGCCCTTATTGGCAGATCTATGGCACGCCAAGTTGGTAATTGCACTAAAATAATCCATAGCTGTGTAGTACCTCAGATCGTGTTTGTTTTCATTCATATCAGCAAACATCACCATGCAAGTTGGCGAAGTAAGCCAATCAGAAATTCACATCAAAGTATCAATAACATTCAACGCTGATGAAATGAAATCAGTGATCATCTGCAATTTTTATTTAAAAGTCAGTTACTTTATTACTAGCATTAACTTCATACACTGAAGGAGACATCTCTCTTGGTTGCCATCGATATCAAGTCTGCAGTAGACTGTGACAGATTGCATTGTTATAAGTCATCTCTAGGGGAAGTCGGTGGTTAGTTGTCTCTCCTTTTAGAGAATCTACTGCACTCCAGTCTTAGTGCATGAGTCTGCACCTAAATAAGTGCATGGAACAGGCAGCTACAAATCTCAATATTTCGTTGAGAAATGAGAACATTTAAGTCTGTACTTAGGAATGCGTTATCTAGACATTTATGGTAGTGGTTGTCATCCGGACGTAGTCTAATGTAATACTCAGTTTATTCCTGAAATCTTGGTAAAAACTTACGTTAGTGAAGGTCAGTGAATCTTTACAGTTTCATTGAAACCGATGCATTTAGACTGGTTTTGATCAAAATCAGAAACAAAGGTAGCTTGAATGTAAACAATTCTATATTAGATAGTTTATTTGATACAACGCCGATAAATTATTATTTACTGAATGACTTTCCAAGTGGAATTTTATTACGCATAATCGTATCAAAGTAATCACAACCTTCCAACTTCATTTTTATAGTCCAGCAGCTCTTCATTCTTTATTCTGAATACTCCAAGCGTCATCTGGCGAATAATGCTTTATCACTGTGTATTATATCAGATTAACAATCCGGTATGGGATTATGGTCCACCAGTGCCTAAGTTTTACTTTTATGTGACGGTTAACAAGCTATAAGTTTCGGTAATGACCTCAAGTTTTAGTGAGTGACAGACAAACAAAAACATAGAAAGTGTTGAGACTAGGCAGTACTTGGCCTTCACTTAGGTTTGTTAAAGATTGCTTAAAAATGAAATAAGGGTGTAACTAATACCGTGAAAAACTATCAAATTGTTACGTAACGGTCAGCTAAAATGTTGGGACTGCGATAAACAGTTCAATTGATCTACACCAGTGCTTCACTTGCATTTTTCCAGTTTCTGGGATGTAGGTAACCGCGTTCTAACCTTCATCAAGGAATGTTGATTCATATTTGAAATGAAGCCTTACAGAAGTATCTGTGACGTACCCCAGAAGATTTAGGTTTGTTTTTCAGGAGTTACTGGATATAACAACGAAGTGTTACCTAGTTTTCGCTAATTGGAAGCAATTTCGCCAATTTAATCTATTTCCTTCCGGGGTATATGAGATGCGAGATCTCTTGTGTCGGCTAAATTTAAATCGACTTTTATGAAGCCAGTAATGATTATCCTTTTAATGGCAAAGTGATAATCCATTGTGCTGAAAATGGTACATACTCAAAGATAAAATTGGTAGTTGACTTCACTTTAGTTATAATTATTGTCAAACTTAAATTCAGTGGTGATGAAGAGTTACAAATTGGTTAGTGGTTATTATATTTCGTATTTTAATTGAAGTGACTACTGCTCACATTTAAACAAAAATAAAAACCGATGAAATGCAAGTAGATAATAGTAAGCAAATAAAGTAAGATGAAGAAATATGTAACTCAGCAGTTAAACACTTATTGTAAATAAATGTAAGACTATCTTCCTGTCTCTTGTGGTAGACCATCGGTAAGTGTTTGATGTTTAATAATAATAATAATAATCACTTTATTCCAGACAATAACTTCTAGTATAGTTTCGAATTCTGAGCATTATATTCCAACAAATTTACGTGTACAGTGTTTTGAAATAAAGAAAATTATGGCAGTTAGTGTAAATATCAGTAGCAGGATAAACAGTAATGCACAAAAACCAGTAGTTTTTAAGTAATCGTATAGTTTGTATGTTGTTACACATGGGTTTGCTGTTGAAGGTTCATTCATTTAGTATGTAAATTTGCTGTTCCATATGCGTGTTGCTACAATAGGTGTATGTTGTACTGTTGTGCGTTCAGCGACCAACTGCTATCTACTGTGGTATTCTTTCGTAGTCTCGTTGTCAACCCGACTAATGATAGGTTGAAGACATTCTAAGAGTGCGCAAGAGCATGTTTTACGATCAGTTGACAGTTGAATGCCTAATACAAGTAAGAAAGGAGCAATATGCTGAAGTACATTCTGTGAAATATTTTTGGTAGCCCACAATTTAAAATGTAGGTAAAGTTCAAAACCAATAAACCTAGTTAAACTGAATGCTTTTCTAGTCTAGACAAGAGAGCATTGTTATGCTCCGGAAAATAACACTTATGAGCGGATACCCGTCATATTTGTCGACTTAGGGTTGACACTTGAACCCTATGAATAAATATGACTTGTAGCAGTGTCTACATGTGAAACGAATGTTGAAAAACGTATGTCTATCATGAAACTTCAAGTGCCTGCATAGGGTTTTTATACAAAGTAAGAATAACCACTTATGTCTTCTAGAAATCGAATGTTCAACATCACTGTTGCTGGCCAGGCTTGTTGAAGATGTTTTGATGAATATAACCCTTCTACATGAAACTTTTGGGAAACTTACTTGCTGTACAAATGGCACTCAGTAAGCAGATAACATAGTTCTTTTGTAAAGGCATCCTGAGTCTTTTCAAAGCCGTGACCGTAAGTTGAAGTATCTTTCACCCGTGTTACACACTGGGTTATGATGCATAGCACATCTAACCTCACCTCCAGTTTATGGGCATGAAAAGTTCTGAAAACTGTTAGTCACTTCACTTCATCAGTTTCATTTCCTTCCCCTCTCCTATATATATATATATATATATATATATATATATATATATATATATATATATATATATATATGTGTGAATTGTGGCTCTGTGTGGGGCTCTTGTTTTGAAGGTAGTTTTTAGCATGGATCGGCAACAAAGGATGTTCCGCGTTACTTTGAAATGCTGTTTAGTGACTTGTTGCTGGATGGATTTCTCAAGGTTCTGTTCAGGAGTTTGATCCTCGGGTCGCCGAGGTTGGGGATGAGTTGGCAGATATCTGGAACGCTGTATGTGTTTATCAAGGATATTTTTGTAAGGAAAAGATCCATTGTTGTATCGCAAGCTTCTTCATTGTGTCTCAGCTGTGTTTTTAGAGTAATTATGTCATCAAAGTTAAAACCAATTTCATTACACCTGATATTTCACTTGAAAGTCGTGAAAGAATGTTTTAAGGAGTGGACAGCGCAATATTACGTAGTGAAAGTCGTATACCGTATCGGGAAATTTTCTGCTGAATAGAACGACTATTATTTTTTATCTACTGTAAAAAGCGTTAAAGAATGCTATTCAGTGTATGTTTGCACCTTTTTATGAAGCGTGTCTGTATTCCCTTGGTGTCCAAAATTACCTTATAATAAACCATTATAATTATTGAGTCATAATCCATTTTAGTCAGTTGTTCACTTATTTCAAGCAAAATCAATCAGGTTAAACTGTTGTAGTTTTTGACAACTTGTTTCCCTATCCAAAATTTAGTTGTAGGACTTCCTTACTGAGGCCCTACACGATTTTTTTTGTATTCTTTAGACGCTTCAATCGTTTATAGAATTCCAAAGTTCTGAAATGTTTCACTTGCAAATGTTTGTGACGCCTGGGTAATAATCCACTTTTTAAAATCATTTTTAGCATCGCAACTTGTTAGCTTGCGCACCAACGGGTTCTGGAAAAACCGCTGCTTATCTGCTTCCAGTACTTAACCAACTATTGAGTACCAAACTTCATGAAAGTTCCAAGTCGAAGGCTGTATTAGATGAGGAAGTGGTATCAGATCACAAGATATTTCCGTTTGCCGTTGTCTTGGCTCCTACTCAAGAGTTGATGCATCAGATTCGTTCGGAAGCACTTCGATTATGTCGTGAGGTTCAAAGCGACTACTATATAGCAACTTTAAGCAGGAAACACTACTCCATACGCTGCAAAAAGAGCTCAAATATAACCACTAGGGATGGTGATGTAGCGCAAGGCTCAAAGAATCTTCGTGAACTGAAATTACCAGCCAACACGAAAATCCTGATCTCTACTCCTAGTCGACTAAGTACTTTATTGTCCCTTCCATACGAACAATGTCCTTTCGATTTCTCCAGGTGTGTTTGTTGTCAGTCTGTCAGTCACATTTTTTTCTTGATCAATTTATGACATGAACTATTTGCTTCATTGTTGAATTTTTCTTTACGGACTGCTGAGGACTGTCTGATTATTCATCAAGTTAGCTTATAAGTCTGGGTACAAACCACCTAGCAGCGTTTTAATGAATCCAAGAGCCGAATGGGATTATCAATATAATCCGATACTCTTAAGCAGTGTTCAGCACATATTTTTATTCTTAGGAAATTTAATAAATGATTGGGCGTGTAATGACTATATGTTTCTAGTAAAGCAACCACTTTATCATTTTATATTGTGTATCTTTCGTGTATGCTGTCAGTTTGCAGATCGAAGTTGGCCTCAAAATAACAAGTAAAATTACTTGCAGATCCAAGAAATGTTCCGTGTACAAGTAATAGATTATTTCCGTTCTTCGCAACTTTTAGATTCTCGTTAGTCCGTTCCAAGTGATAGTGAAAATGATGGTTTTCATGATCTTTTTACTAGCTAAATCAATCTGTCTACTAAATTAAAGAGTTAGTATTTCTTTTGAAGTCCAGGTGCTTTCTGCATCCTTAATCTGCCGACTCTATTTTCGGTTAATGAAACTCATCTTTTAATCATTGACGCCGTATCACATTGAGAACCCACGGAAATAGATTTTCTATCATATGTTACCAGATTAGTAACTGCTGACTTAAACATGATTAAGGTGCAGATTTGTTGCAGTGAGAGTGACAGTTCTTGATGGTCACATTTACAAGTGACCAGCTTCGGGCTTCATATGAGGTCATATTTCATTCTTTAGGTGTTATTTGCTAGAAAAAAAAGTCAAGAAAAATGTGTAACAATCAGTGGTCATTTTGCGGACACCAGCTAAATAAGTCAACCCATACTTTTCAACAATGCACAGATGTATCAAGTATAAGAAATATTTGCATTAAATTTAGTTAGATAACTTGTGCGCCACTATAAATCCATATTCTGTTTTCTACAATACAGACTCTCCTGGCTTGTAGTAGATGAATGCGATAAAATGCTGGAAGTAAATTTGAACGATATATCTCATTCTAACTCTGAACATGTTAACAAAGGGAAGTACCGACCTCGTGGATTTCATGATCAACTAGCTCCTGTTTTTAAAGCTATTCAGAAGGTCAGTTCCAGTCAACAGACAAATGTTAAACCTGCTATTGCCTTATTTTCGGCTACTGTCCCTAATGAAGTTGTATCTTGGACTAAGAGCCAACTGCCTATCCTCCTAAAATTGACAATTCAGAGCCTGAGTTAATCCAGTTGCGAGTGGGTGTCCGGTAAGTAGAGTGTTCTTGGCTGTAAATTTATTCCAATATCGCTACCACCTTGCATTCAACTGTAATTCATTCTTTGTTACATAGTCATGAACCCGGAACTCCTTTCTCAAGGCACTCGACTTTCAACCAAATGTGTCATAATTGCGAATCTCAGTTCACTTACCGAGGTGTAAACAGCCCAAAGTACAGTTAATCCTCACACAATAAGTGTGGTTCATTTCATAGTGCACAGACCTCCACGTGGTTGTTGAGTTCAACTTATTATTAGTTACGCAATAGGATGGGTCTAAGTCGAGAAAATTGTAGTACGTTAATGTCCTTGTTTGAGTCTACCTTCAGAGATAGACTACCGCAACATAGTGATGGAATTCGATTATTACAGGCAAATCAAAGTATGTGGTCGTCTAATGATCAGTTCCTTCAGTATTAAATAAGTGTATGCCTATGAACACTCAGATGTATACTTGTGGGGTTAGTCATTGCCAGAAACGATCCGGCTAGCGTTAAAAACTGCATAATCTGCTACCGGACATTGAATAGTTGTAGTTATGGAAATGAAGACATACGCTGATTAAGTTGATAGATGTCGAGTATGTAAAATTTGTAGTTCTGAGGCGTAAAATGTTGGTTTGATCATTTCTCAAATATCTCCAAGCACACGCGCTCATCTATGCATTCTTCTCTAGTGTTATTCAGGCCGCTAAGCAGTAATGCCTGGTCCTATGTTGATTCGGATGGATGGATCTCCAGTTTTATACAGCATATCTTTCGCACTATATTTGATCAAAATTCCTACTCGTGTCGATTATAAATCCTAGAAATTTCCTTGCAAACTTCAATTTTCTCTCACAATTTGTGTAGAAATGCTGCTGTTTCTACTGTCAAACAAGAGTTACGCTATTGTGCTACAGAACAAGGAAAACTTCTGGAAATGCATTATCTACTCGCCAGTGGGTTAGCTTATCCGTGTCTTATTTTTATGCAGTCTCGAGAAAGAGCCCGCGAAATTCTTAAGGAAATCCTATTGTCTGATGTAGATATTCTGGCGAATGTGATTTCAAGTGATAAAACGGAAGCCCAAGTATGTATAAATTCTAGTTTTATATTCTCTTTTACATATCTTTTTCATGTCATAAATAAAGAATTGAAATTGATATGATAAAGCTTTTGTATCAACTTGCATAGAATTCAGTAGAAAATGCCGAACCGTTTATATTAATTGCATTCCAACCTGTTTACAGACTTTTCCAATTATGCTTTTGCATTTGCGTAATGTAACTGCTGTTGAGTCTTTTTCTGTATTTAATCGTTACGAAACTAAGGACCAAGTTCACGGATTTTGAAGATAATACACAAAATACCCGGTGGTCGCTGGTTCGAATCCAGCCGCGGTCTAAATTTTCATTTCACCTTCAGTCATCGCCCATTATATAATACACAAGAGTGTACAATATTACTGAAAATGAACCAATTACAACCTCACCACCGACCACTTAGATCTCTACATTTATTACCGTGTCAATTGTCATCTTCAGAACCCAAGTTCGGTATTAAGTTACTTTATCGTAAAAAATAAAGATGTACTCCTATTGTATCATATTGATAAAACACTTATTATTTGCTATTACCTGTCCATGGATGCTTATTATCATTTGAATGTTTAGTTTAATGATAAATTCTAACTATAACCTGGAAACTTGGTCTCGCTATATGTAACACGCTGTGAGCTACGCCAAGTATATGAAAGCTTATGATGCTACTCAAGCTGAATTAAGCTAGGGTGTGACTTATTGGCGTCAGCATTGTTTTCAAGCAATGATTCCTGACTTCAAACCTTCCTCTTCCTACTTCAACTGCAGTAACCGGTAGTATCATAAAGTAAGCGTGGTTCACAGCCTAGGGTGTTAACCTAGACTGGGTTGAGTTGGGTCGAAAAAACAACTCATTGATTGTTAGTCGAATATCCGAACCAACCAGCCACAAACTTTTAATTGATTGTTTTGCTATAAATGAAAAAAAAACTTATTTTTCGGCAATATCCTGTTCTGCTGTTCAGTCAAGTGATAAGGGCCCATGTTTGTAGTCATTTGTGTTATTCATGTAGCAAGCATACTTTGACTTTCAGCACTTACCGAAGGTCTGATACTGACTTAAGGAAATTTTGAATATAAAGGTAATATCATTTAATTCTTACGTGAATTTCTTACTCGCTGTGTTCTGTACAAAGACTCTTGGGATACTAAATTCAATGATCTGTTCTCCTTCCCATAATTCTCCTGGTTATTCTGTATATCTGCTGTACATCTGTATTTCTTTTTAGCGTGCCAATATAGTCCGTGCTTTTCGTGAAGGACAACTTCATGTTCTCATTTGTACTGATTTATTGGGGCGAGGGATCGACTTTAAGGTAAGTTCTTCAAATGATGTTTCGCTTTATCATTTTCACTTGGCAGTTCTATGCAGTTTTAATTTTTATTCTGAAACGACCTACATGACACAAAGTTTAGCTAGTCGAAGCGACCTCTATTCCTGGGCCTGTTGATTACAGTGTCTAGGATGCGCAATTATGAATTTAGTTATGAATAAACACATGTGTATCCGTATACACACAGAAGAACATGTAATGACAATTTTTAAAAAGCTTGACTGGCTGGTTAAGGAACCAATTTACTTTTTGTTTTTTACAGCTAAGCGTGTTCTGTCCGTTAAATAGAAATAGTACAAGAGTAATTGCTAGTAAACATTATTGGTGTGTAGTGAAAACTGTCAATACTAGGCATAGGCTTCTGGAGAATGAAGATAAATCGAAAGACAACATATAGTAAAATGTATGTTACGAATATCAAACCATAAACTGCTCTATGCTGTCTGAAAAGAGTTGAAACACTTTCAGGGTAACTAAATCAAGTTATAACTCTTGTATAAAGTAATCGGTAATAGGGAACAGCTGACAGTTGTTCAGGAAAATCTAGCAAAAAAATGATCAATATGTAGTTGCAAACCTTATGAAATAACTCATAATTGATCACGACAGATTTACTAAATATTTCTAAATATCGTATATCTTATCACTTTATGCCTACTTGTTCGGTGTTTGTTGGTGCTAGGCGTCGCAATATTGTTAAGATTATAATATATTGTACCGAACTTTTAAATAATCTTGACAGTGAATTACAAGGACACAGTTGCATTTCTGGAAAGTTATTGATATGCCTTACATATTCATTTTTTAAACAGCTTTTGTTTGGATGAAAACCCAGTTAACACTAGTCAGTCTAGCCAATGGCCTCTGCCAGTGTCATTAAATACCATAAGTACTAGCCCATATCATTCTGCTGCTTTTTCTCTTCTCAGTTTACCCACAGCCATCTCAACCTCTGCAGGAGTAGGAGGGCGTGTCTGTATCTCATCCGGGATCCGACTGGGTAAGGGGCAACAGAATAGTAGCTGGAGGCTAGTTGGAGTGTTCCCATCATTTCAGTCGTCTACTCTTCCAGTGGGTCGCAGACCCATCCTTTTCCTCCTCTGTAATCTCAACAACACATATATTTTGCCCCAGTTTCCATGATGACTCTAGATAACCATGTATTGTTGCGTATCATCGTCGCCTTTTCCATTTCTTTAGCCCTGACTACTCACGGTGACCACGTTAACTTTGTCACTGTATATTTGAGCTGCTTCCGAAGCTCATTGTGCTTGAAGCTTACAGGAATGCATTCATGCACCTTTGTTGATTCAGAAGAAGCTGCTGAGGTCGACTGATCCTCACTACTTTCTGAGAATCAGTTACTGTCTTTAACAGTAAATTGAAGATGAGACCAAGCTTCTAGCGGACGAATGACGTTGTCCTGTTCCGATAACTGTCTATAGAATCTTTTGTTGAAAGTGGCCTCAGTATTCTTATTCACATGCGCCCAGAGTAGTCTTGCAGCTGTATGTCTTCCACGTCGTTTTAGACAGACATGCTCAAACTAATGCACGACCACTGTACACACATGTGCTCCAGGAGAAGCGGTGACCTCCCAACCTTTTTCATTGGTGTCTGATAGGCACTTGGTCTGTCTGTATCCATTGAGTTACAGTTAATAAATGCCACTTCAGCCAATATCCTTCTTTCTTTGAAACTCCTGTACGCCAGAAAAGTGCTTGAGCACAGCTGTATCAGGCGGTCACCGGTATTCATTCCTTTGGTTGGGATTCCAAAAGTGATTAACTACCTGGCTCATCTTACATACTTCTGCACAGAAATCTTCTGCTACACCAACCACATCTCGACGTTTGGCTTTCATTAGGGTGCTGGGCAGTTGTCGGTAGAATTCATCTTTCACCTGATGTGGCCTGTATCAGGGAATACGCAACTAAAGATTAGAAACAAACAGCGATGCGTTTTACTGTTCTTTTTAGTCTTCACTATACCATTCCGTCAGACAGCTCACTAGTGACCGTCAACTAAGATTCAATCGAGCATTTTCTGCCTTAGAAAGTAGTGTTATGACTACGACTGGAAAACGATGAGAACTACCCATCAAATCTAGAAACGAATCCACAGATTCACCATACTGACCGAGCGGGGAGAGTGGCCTAAGTGAGTAACTGCACTTGTGTTCTGTATGCATGTCTCATTAGCTCAGCACACTTCTATGGCCTGAGAGTTGGAGTGAGGTTTCGAAATACTTTTCTATAAGCTCAATAGTTATCAAGGCCCGCAGAAATGGAAGAAACCAAAAATGACTAAAGATTATCAACAGTAATACGAAGAAGGATTTGATTGCTGATAAAGATATGAAGGCAACTGACACCTCCCAGCTATCCAGACGGTGTGCGGAGAGGAAGTTTCTTGGATACTTCGTGGGAGTAAAAGTGGGTTTGTAGGCGTGATATAACAAACATGGATGTTTAACCTCAAGAGACATCTGCTGAAGATGAGTCAAGTGCACAGTTGATGGGTTTTTTCGAAGCTTGAAGTTGTGCGTTAGTTAAGCAGTCATTCGCGAAATGCGCTTTCCACCCCACGACTTAATGCAGTGCCTGGACGGCAACCAACCGCCAAATCTCCGGGACGATAGATAGCAAGGCAAATTTTGCAGATTAACCACACTAGACAGGTGTAGTGAAGTGGATTGTTGTGCATGCATCCCGTATACTCCTCTAAGAAGCAGAGTTTACATCAGCGACTCAGAATTCCAGCGTTTTGGTGAGATATATGGCTGTTCTGAAACTAAAACGATACAAAGTAGCTGGACCTGACGGTTTGACACCTTAAACTTTTAAGGATGGAGACAAGAAATTGCTAATCAGATTAATAGGGGTACTAAGTAGTGTGTGGGAATCAGAGATAGTCCCATCAGACTGGTCTGCTCCACTGGTCTTGTGATAGCCATAGGAGAATCAGTTAGACTAATATCGTATCCAAGATCCTTAGGGCCATAGTTACCCGATGTCTAACTGGAGCTCGAGTACTGGAAACTCAAGAAAACCAGGCAGGTTTACCATCCAGACAAAAGTGCATCGATCAGCTTTTCGTCCTCCGACAGGTTCTGAAACAGGTATACTTAACGGCTTACACTTGGTATATTTCCTGACGAGAAGGCGAAATTCGACTCTGTCAACCAGACATGGCAGTGTCTGACTGTGTAGGGAGTACCTACCATGTATATAACGCTCGTTTGGCATCTGCCAACTTGCATCATCTCTGGCATCCACTGACGAGATAGCCGACTACCTATCAAAAACAAGTATACTGTGCTGTAGTCTGTTCTGTTCTGTTGTATGGCTGTGAGATGACCGTTGAAAGTAGAAAATCTGAAGCAGTTAGAAGTTCTTGACCACAGCTGTCTTCATAGCATTGTTTCCATTTGGCGGAATCACCGTGTGAACAATGTTGAGGTCAGGTGAAGGGTTCTAGAGAAGGGAAGTGCGTCAGTCAATGAGGTTGTGAACCTTTATCTACTGAAGTGTCTTTTGCATGTGATGCGCATGCTTAGCCACTTCGTATCTCGATGTGGAATGCTGGGGAAGTTGAATTAGATTGGCTAAGGTTCCGAGTGACTAGACTAAGACTTGGTAGTATTGCATGAAGTTCGTGACTGTTAATTATCCATATGAGATGTAGACTAGCTAACTGGGGTCTCGAGATGATGGGATCAGTGGGTGAGAACTCTCGTTGATATGGCTGGGCATTGGTTACAATGAAGCAGATGCATTCACTTTTTGTTGTCATCTAAAGCTTGAGTGTTTTGAGTAGTCTTAATTTTTAAATTTCCTTTTCTCATACGCCTTTGTCCGCTTTGATATCAGTCTTTCTCGTCCAGTTTTTCTTTGTATGCTTCTGTGAAGTGTGTTAAGTTGAATGGATCCACTTGTGTCCAAGGTTCTAGGTTAATTTCGTGTTTCTTTGCCTAAGGCACCTGAAAAACAGTGGATATCTGCTTGAGGCCGGGCTCATAGACTTTTTAGAGTGAAGCTTCATTATGTTGCCATTATGCCATCTTTACAACCGACCTTCCTTACTCCTTTTGAAAGTTAAGGTGACACAATCATGGTGCATCTTGTGTTCGAATTAATTCTTTTATTCGTTTTTATGTTACGTTATTCCAAGGGTGTCAGCATGGTAGTCAATTACGACGTCACTCCATCAAAACAAGAATATATACATCGCATTGGTCGAACTGGGAGAGCCGTCGTCATGGACGGGCTATTACTCTTTGGACTGATTCTGATCTGCCACATATGGATGGTATTTTGTCTGTGATGAAAAAAAGTGGTTCTGAAGTTGACCCAGAGCTAGATAGGCTTGTAAACGAATGGAAAATTAGACGTGTAAATATGATGTGCAAGAAGACAAATCATAAGAAACAGCGGTTTCTGTATAGTTCAATCAGTCGTCGACGTGGCGAAGACGTCTTGCTGCTAAAATCCTCAAAAACTCTAGCAAGGAAAACGTAACCGAAACTACTAATATTCAAGACAAGTAAGTACTTCTGTTCACTTTTCTAGAGTTTTCGTCCACATGTATTACAACTTTGTACAGGTAGTTTGATTGGGAAAACTGATAGCTATGCCTCAACCTCGCCTAGGTAACTAGTTCACTAGTTACTAACCGGTCCTAAGTCCGTAAAACAAATCTAACCGCTAAAGAAACTTCAAAGCACAAACAAAATATAAAAAATAAAAACAAAATTATTCCTCGCTGGAATCGGAGAGACAAAATGACGCCGATCGATGAAAGCCTTCGGGAAGCCGATTGGCCGATCTGTCTTCTCTCTCTCAATGAAAGCGAAAGTAAACGTGGGGACATGGAATGTCCGCACCATGTTTGAACCCAGCAAGACAGCCCAGATTGCAAACGAGATGAAGAGGCATCACATTGAAGTGCTTGGAATTTGCGAGAGAGATGGAATGTGAGTGGACTCTCCAAACTGTCAACTGGAGAATCAATAATCTACTCCGATATTGTCACCCAGACGACAACCACGAGCACACTGAGTTTTGGAGTGGCTATCATGATGTCCTCAAGAACATCGAAGGCTCTCCTGCAGTGGGAACCAATCTCCTCCAGCATCAGGATCATGACACCAAGATTCAACTCAAAAGGAATGAAAGTCACAATCATACAATGCTACCCAGTGCACTTACAAATAATGCGAATCAAGAGAAGAAGGAATTCAACAGACAACTGCAATCAGTAATGGACAAGACCACAATCCAGTTGGTGACATCAAAATTCTAATAGATGACATGAATGCCAAATTGGGAGCGGACAACACAGGAAGAGAACTCATCATGTGTCGAGAAGCACTCGGTGAAATGATGAATGAGAATGGAGAACTGTTTGCAGATTTCTGTGTATTCAACGATTTGGTGATTGGAGGCGAGGCAGTGTGTACAAACACAAGGATATTCACAAAGCGACATGGATTTCACCAGACACCAGGACACACTAGAAATCAGATCGACTTCATCTCAATGCGAAGAAAGTGGAGACGCAGCCTACTTGACACGAGATCAAGAAGGGGAGCAGATTTAGCTTCACACCACTCACTATCTAGTGCAAGGAACCTTCCAAATCAAGTTGAAGACCTTCAAAGAAGTTGGTGATAGACCACAGTTCAAGTTCAACACCCAGAACAGAAACTGAAGGATGAAACTACAAAGGACATCTTCACGTCAAACATCGGAACAAAATGGGGGACATTGAGCAACATCCCTGAAGGATCGGGCGTGGAAGAACACTGGAACTCTTTGAAAGCTATGTGGAAAGAAACCTGCATAACCGCATTAGGAAGGAAAAAGAAACAAGACAATACAAGGAATGGATCTCGAAGGACACATGGGAGCTGATAGAGGAGAGGAGGATGGTGAAGCAGAAGATGAAGCAGTGCAAGGATGCACAACGAGAAGAGGAACTGAGTGCAACGTATAAAACACTACACTGGACAAAGAAGTGAAGAAGAGTGTGCGTACAAAGACAAAAGACACTTCAACGACACACTTGAAAGTGAAGCAGAACAGGCTGCTGGTAGGAGACACCTGACAACATTATATCAAATAACCAGGTCACTATCCGGAAGAGATCAACTCAGACGAGACCAATGAAAGATAGTGAAGGAAAGCTAGTTACCAAAGAAGAGAAACGAAGGAAACGATGGGCTGACCATTTCAAAAAGCTCTTGAATCGACCACCACCAACACCTGCAACTCGTCCAGAAATACCACCAGCAGCCCAGCCATTGAACTGTCAGTGAACACAAACACTCCGACAAAAGTGGAAGTCCTGAATGCCAGAAAGCTACTGAAATGTGGGAAAGCAGCAGGACCAGATGGAATTTGTCCTGAAGCACTGAGAACAGGCTCAGAGACAACAGCGAACATGCTCACACCACTACTGCAGAAGGTTTGCAAGGAAGGAAGGGAAGGTACCTGCTGATTGATTGGAAGAAGGGCTACCTCGTCAAACTCCCGAAGGAGGGAGACCTCAGTGTTTGCAAGAACTTGCGAGGAATCATGCTGCTGTCCACCCCCAAGCAAATTATGATGCCACATCATCCTGGAGAGACTACAAGATGCACTGGATTCAAAACTACGACCGGAACAGGCTGGCTGACTGGCTTCGGGAGGAACAAATCATGTGTGGATGAAATTGCAACGCTATGCTACGCATCATCATAGAACAGAGTATAGAATGGCAGTCAACTCTCTACCTCAACTTCATCGACTTTGAGAAGGCCTTCGACAGCGCCGACCGAGAAGTAATTCGGAAACTGCTTCAACACTGTGGTGTGCCACTAATCTTTATCAACCTCATTCAACAGCTATGTGAAGACGCCACATGCCAAGTGATCCACAATGGAAAGCTCATTGACGCCTTTGAAGTGAAGACAGGAGTGAAACAAGGCTGCCTACTATCACCCATGACATTCTTGATTGTGTTCGACTGGACTGGATCATGCAGCAAACCGTGAGGAGCGAGAAGATGGACATACGCTGGCTGGACCGATGAAAAGACCTCAGAAAAAGATTTGGATTCCGCCCTCGATGATGATTTATGTCCAATGTCTTGTCGCACAAACTCGAAGATCTACAGGCGAAGACTAACAAGTTGACCGAAGAGACAGAGAAAACGGGACTTCAAGTGAATGTAGAGAAGACAGAGGTGATGAAGATACCAAAACAACAACAGCATCAACAACAAGCACCAATCACCATTGACGGGAGAAACTTAAAGGAAGTAGTCTCTTTCACCTACATATCTAGGCAGCATCGTTTCAACTACAGGCGGCACAGACGAGAATGTCAAAACCAGGATTGGAAAACCAGCAAGACAGGCTTCCACTAATCTGAAGTCAGTGTGGAGGTCTACTGCACTCAGCATAAAGCATGAATAAGATCCAGATTTTCAACACCAACGTCAGTCAAGTCAGTGCTACTATTTAGTTCAGAAACTTGGCGCGTCACGAAAAGCACTCCCAACAAACTACAGACATTCCAACAACAACGGCCTACGCTCGATACTGATGATCAGATGGATGGGCAGAGAGAATAAGCAACAGGGACCTCTGACTGGCAACGAACCAACCAACAACCCTTCGCCCAACAAACATGCAGAAGAAAGTGTAGATGAGTTGGATTGGGGATACACTGAGAAGGCCGACTGGGGACATCACGCACCAGGGCAGACCGTCGAGTGGAATCCAAAGGGGAAGCGACGAGTTGGGCGTCCCAGGTGAGGGTGACATGGAGGAGATCATGTGAGGAAGAAATGAGAGCTTGTGGGCAGTCGTGGCGCCAGGTTGAAAGGACTGTAGAGAAGAGAGTGGAATGCAGGTGTGCTACTACTGAAGCCCTATGTTCCACTAGGAACCCGAAGGACAAATAATTATAGTACAAGTGGCTAAATTTACATGCTAAGCCGCATATCACCTCTTCATTTTGGACTCAAATTATTTCATTTTTCCATAACCATAACTAAATGAACTTCTACTTATTTCGTAGTTAAACATATTATGCTGCATTCAACGTTTAAGACACAATCAATCAGGTAAGTGATTGTGTCTAGAAGCTATATGGCGTGCATGCTCTCACCTCTTTATATGTAATGTGTTGATTTCTTCCAATGGCGCAATTAACATTCATCCCATATTCCTTTCTTTCGGGAGATACGAATAAGATCCATTCTTGTGAAGAATTGATATGTGTCAGAACTTTAGATATCCGTTTTCTTGTTGTATAGTGTGCATTAACTCTACCTCTTTAAACCTGCTAGTTATCTGCAAGCTATGTAGCTGTATTGAGCCAGAACTGCTAAACTGGCTTAAATACATAATCACGCCTGTAAACTGATGACTATCTGTATTTGCAAGAATAAGTGACTATCGTTGACTAAGTTAAATTGAATTGCTAGTGTAGAACGGTAGACATAAACCGAAAGGTTGGTATTTAAATTTTCGCCCACAATTTCTGATCATCCACCACGATTTAGACCGTAAAGTTATTGCATGCATGGAGGAACCCAGTGGTTTTTCTGCCGCTTGAACTCCACACCACTTTATTATTTTTTGACATTTTAGTAAATAACACTTGTTTGTCCCATTCCACTCCATTTACTTTCATTCTGCTCTAATTCGTATTAACTCTACCTTCTTATCTATTACAAGTCGACAGATGTAACGTTCCAATACTCAGTGATGGCGAAGTTGTCGCACAAGATTATAATAAGGCATATAAACGTAGCATGTAAGATGAGGAACAGAATAGTCTTATTGAGTAGAACAAGACGTCACGAAAATAGAACTCTAGACCACAGGGGGGATATTCCATGGCCACACAGAAGTGTTCTCATACAATAATTCATGGGATCGTACAATGATTCACGGTACATAGAGGTGCCCGACCACGAAAACACTCTCAGTCTAAGCTGACGGATAAAGACACCGCTCAGTTACCTTTCGTACTTGTAGAATAAACCGCCAGCATATTACCAGGGATGAACGTGAAGGGGTAACCAGGAAGGATTGGCTTGTCCGATGAACCGTGCCAGAATGCCGCAACGCTTTGACTAATTGAGTAGAGGATCGCGTACGAATGGCAGCGTAACAGGAAAACGTGAAAACGGCATGGATGCCTGACAGTGTGCCTCCAGCTCGACCAGCCCGTTGAAAATATGATGGCCAGAATTGTTGTTTCGTCTCCTCGAACAATGGGCAGTTGATTTCGAAGAATTACATCACTGAGATAGACTGCAACTAGTCTTGATCGCTTTATGCTGAAAATGCATACTACTCCATTCTGTGACATTTAGCAGTGAATACTACCTTCCAGTTAAAAATTAGAACGTGCACTCACACTTTGTAATGACCTGCAGCATCCTTCAGGTACGCCGCTTTTAATTTCATCTTTATTATCCAGCCTTCGTCTCATTTGTGTTTTTAGATTACCTCTCTTTTTCTGAGATTATTTGACTGGGATACTATTGTCTACTTTTCGCAAAGGTTTCATACTGTCCTCCATCCATGACGCAGTTCATTTGCCTAATAATGCACAGCGAATTCATTTCCAAAAAAATTCCAGTGTACCAAGTAACCAAGTATGATGAATGGTTGAAGTTTGGCGCATCAAATTCTTGGCATCGCTTGAGAACTGAAAAACGTTTGGCCTTATGTCCCGAGATACGGTAGAGAGAGTAGTCCCTTTTTGGCAGATTAGGAAGGATCCACGTGGAACGGTGGAGGAGAATAGGTAAAGTGCAGGAAATAATAAATCGTAAAAGTAGGGGTTTTGTTATACCAGAGAGCCTGTTTCCTTATACGGTACGTTAAGCGTAGGTACCTCTATAGATTCAGAAACTTGGGGCGTTACTTAAAGCATTTCCAACAAACCACAGACATTGATCATGGTTTTTAACCCACCAGATCTAGACTTATTCTGAGGATGCTCAACACTTTATCGCGGATTATTTTAGTAAATGGAAGAAGTACTGACTAGTCTGCACTGGTCCAGTCTTGATGAGGAGTCATTACATTAATTAGTTTGAATTTTCAGACAACTTCCTGGTATGAAAGAGAAGTTGATCGGCGATAACTTATCATATGAATTTTCGTGCATGTCAAACATTGTAGGGTAATGTGACGGATCTTCATATGTATGATATGCGAACGATTATTTCCATGAGGAAAGTAAATGCTTTGCTACAAGTCCAGATCCCCAGATTAAAACAAGTAATAAAGTATTCAAAACCGAGTTGGGGTTTGATTATTTAAAAAAACTTGAGCATTGGGTCGGTGATATCATTACTATTCAGTAATGCTAGACGTCATTTGGGGAAACCGTGTTTTTTCATCCACTCAAAAAAAACAAATGTTAGAGTCATAGGTGATCGAAAATTCGTTTCCCTGCCAGTCACTCCTTACGTAAGCGGTTTGATTTGTAGGCACTTTAATGTGTTAATTATCTGTAGTTGAATACTTTGCACAATACTGCTTTAATGCTGCTCTGCATGATATCTTGTTTATCATTTCAGGAGTATGTGGTTAAGACCATGGAATCCCCACAGAGGTCGTATAAGTGATGTACCTGGAGCCCTGAGTAAAAAACAGAAAACTGAATAACACTTATAGACAAAATGAACATTTGTATTCTTTTTTATCATTTCATGAAGAGATAAAACCTTTACAGATTAATTTCTCCTTTATTTCTTTGTATAGAAGGTTTTGAAACAGTAAATAAAATACAGTTAGGTCCCTAAACTCTAAAAATGCGGTATTCCAGACCAAAAACATGAGGGAAAGGTAATTACGCACTGCAAATAGACAATTTATTATGAAATCATGGTGAGGCGTGATCTAAAGTTATGCTGTAATTTCTGATTTGGTAAGGATTGTTGAATGATATGAATGAAATAAACAGGGTGATAATAATCTTAAGGAAAGTGAATGCTGACAGTTGTGAGAGCGTCGACGCTAACCGGTTTCCCACATCATGGAAGGCAATCTGTGTGTTTTCACAGTGTAATCACAGACCGGATCAAAGGTTTTCCAAGACGCAATTCTTTAGAGAGTATACGTTGCATTTCTTCTTTATAAGTATAACTTGGAGGAACCCAACGATATTTTTCTTTTTTTTACGCGGTATAGATTTGTCTTCATGCTGCTCATCAGATATTGGTTCACTGTTTATTGATGCCCGTGTGTTTAGTATACTGTTGATTCGGCTTCCTCCACGACCATATGAACGTTCATGACCAGTGGCTGTTGCGATGATAGAACCACCGACCCCACTCAAAAACCGACGAAAATTGAGTTGGAGATAAGGCGAATGGCTGCGCTGAAATTCTGTAGTATTTTGATCAGATTCTTCATTTCTGTATAAGAAGTGGATACATACACATGATTAGGAGACGTGGAATCGGTCACGTTCTTACTGACAATTCACTCCTATTGTAAGACCACATTGCATGATATAACATTGCACTGTCCAGCGTTACGACACTTTTTTACTACACAGAGAAAGAAGACTTGCATTCTTAAAAAAACCCGACGAACTAAAGAAACAACAAAATGATAAATGTTTACGAAACTTTAGTTGCATCCCAACCGTTTAAAACTGTAGAGTAGATATACTGGGAACTGATACTTATCTGGTTTATAGACAGATGAACAGCAATGAACTAGGGCATTTTGGCTTTTCATGAGTTTACCACACAGACGACAGTTTATTAATGTACGGTTTCCCAACAAATCAATGATTATGGTTTGTTGACCACGCAATTTCTAATCACTTACTTAACAACTGTGTACAAGTAGTTATCACAGCGTTCCTTCAGTGTTCGACTGGAGAGAAGATGAACCATTCGGTCTTTAGTAATTTACGTTCATTTCTGAACATGATGATCTTCCAAACTAGCATATGCAGCTGCCATTGGACACCTTTCAGTTGAACTAAATAAATCACTTCGTTCTTGTAACACGTGTCCAGTGAGTAGTTTTTCAGCTTAATCCCACACGCATCCTGACGTCGATATTGTGAAAAATCTATGGAATGAAAGTCTACACATTGTAACATTGTTGAACATAAATTAGTGATAGTAGACTTAAGCATTGTATGAAAGTGAATATTTGTTGCAAGTAATAATCAACAATAACGTGGCCATTGTGAGTACGAAAAATAAGCCCACAATTGGGGGTGATTTTTTCAACTACTTCTTCTCTCGAAGTGATTTCACCGTTATTTATCGTGTTTGTGAACTACATTTCACCAAGGTAGTGTACTGTGTAGGGGAAAACAGTTAGCGTACTAACTTTAGCACTTCATAAACTCTGAACTAGACCTTATATACAGTTAGTATTAGTACTTCGGACAAGGTTGGTCGATTGTTTAGAATGGGAGTTCTGATAATAAATGTAGTAAAAACGAATGTAGAAAAAACATTTTCATCTAATAGTCGGTTGATGCATGAAATTGTTTTGAACCAAAAGATGCTGTTACACTATGCAAATATCATCCTTTTGCATACTTTGCTATGATAAATATCGAGACAAAACATAATACAAACGTAAATCATGTATAAACACAGTAAGTTAGAGACAATTGATGAAGCTCATAAGTAGCACGATTACTTCATGAAAGATAACAAACTTACAGTGGATCGCGTCCTTCGTCAGTTATGTCATTCTGTATTTCACTGAATTCATTTCATTTATATCTGGGCTGGAAATTTCGTTCGGTGAATCCTGATTTGAAGTTTGCGATCTACCTTGACCTATCTCTGCATGATTTATTAAATAATGTCTGCACATATAAATATGGGGGGGGGGGGGGGGAGGAGGAGGAGTATTATCAAGAACATGTGAATACTAACAGCACAACTAAGACTTATTTATATAAATGAAGACTACATGCAAGCTACACTTTTCTAAGGGAATAAGTAAATTCAAGTATGTGTTAGCGTTTATCTACAGTTACCGCTTCATTCAAACAAAATTCAAAAACTGCTTAACAACAATCGTGCTACCTAAATTGTCTAGAAAGGTGAATTGAGATATAGATGATGAATAGACTTTTCATAAAATATATTTATCCAACTAAGCCACCACGTGTATCTTGGTGTATATAGCCTATGACCCACACCTGCTATATGATGGTTGACGATAATAGATGTTTTCTCTAACCAGTCGAGCTACGCTCAAACTTCTGATGCAATAAGTGAAAGTAGATTGCTCAAGCTAGTGAGACTTGACTTAGTTACCGAAAGAACGCATTCTGAATACTATCTTTCGTAAACTTTGTCCCGCTATGATAATCTGTGGAGGTTATACCTAGTCAGTAGGCAAAATGAAACACATTTCATGCAGACCCCAACAGTCCTCAGCGAGATTTTTAACCTAACTGCCCACAAATACTTGCACTTCAATGAACCATGATTTGAGTCACATTGGTTTGAATCCCCAGATCAATAATCAAAGGCTGAGCGGCCGGCACATTCAGTTTACTATGGCTATAAAGTCAGCATAAAGCCATATCAGTATGCTATCGAGCTGCGAAATGCTTCTTATATACAGGAGTATAAAACCTACATAATATCGATTGTAGACATCTACGTTTGCTTAGACATGTGCTCAATAATTTTAAGTGTCGTTTTTGAAGCAGAATTCACAATAGCAGAGAACTATTTCGGAAAAATCAACATGCACTCATCAACCCTCTGTATATTCGTGCAGTAGGTAATGAACCACACCATCGTGCTAGGACTGGCGATACCATCTGGTTGCCTAAACCTCGGTAGGTAAAGCGGCTTTCGGACATGCGACTTTCTGGTTGAAAATCGATTACCCAAACCAATGATCTACGTTGATCGCGTCCAACTAAGGCTTATAGCAATATGATATACTTCTGCTTTCACTGTTGGTTTGATGTTGGTGGACAGCAAGTGAGGTTTTATCTCTTCACGCGCATGAAGCTATTACTGACCAGGAAAACGTGATTATCAGACCAAACTAAGACCCCATTCTGATGGGATCAGCTTTCCTAAAAACACCGTTGAAACTGTGCTAGTAATACTATAGATGAACATTCTGCATAGTGTAGCGAAATCGACAGATTTCAGCATATCGCATTCAAACTGCAGCCAGCGGTTGCGTAGGCGGAGATTACAAATATACGTCGACAAGTGTCCCAGTCTCTCCCGGGTGTTACAGATCCTTCTCGCCCGATAGTGCATAGACGACTACCAACTGCTACACACTCAAGACGTTTGCTGTCTCCTCCACAACTTAATGCAATACCTGCATTTGTAGGCCCACAGCAGCCAAATCTCAAAGGAAAATTTGCAGACTCACCACATTGGATAGGGTGTGATGAAGCGAATTATCAAACATTGATCCTGTATGTGCGTCTCAGAGACAGAATACATCGGTGTAACGCAATTACAGACTTTCTGTGAGACATGTCTTGCCTGACTTGACATAGGCTCCAAATCTTCAGAGCTCCAACGTGAAGTTGGCTGCATGGTTTTAGGAGACCCGGGTTGCTGTTTCGTTGGCTTGCATCATCAAAAACAGTATCAAGGTGAGGAGTTAAGAAAACTACTAGGAGTAAAGCAAGGAAGCTACATTATAGTTAGTTGGGTTTTGTCTACTCCAGCACGTCAGTCAATATCAACATGCGACCTGACAGTACTCCGTAGCGGTTCATGTTGCAACAGATCATATCAACACATCAAGATGCAAAGCACCAAGGGATAAGACATAAGAGAAGAACTGTTAAGCCAAATAACGAACTGCAATAAGACGATTAAGATGAAGATAATGAGAGGATTTGCACCACTAACATCGATTTGGAACATCACTTAGAGTCTTATTTCGATTGTCGTGTAAACTCCAGCCGGAAATATTACATTTCTTTACACGGCTGCGACCAATAATCAAAGACTTCCAGGACTGACTACATGTTTCATTGTTTGACCACTCTTAACCAATTAACCCTGCGTGACACGGTGACGGTAACTAGACATAAGTAACACAATTCTCAACCGGCTGAATCAATGAGAGTTCACTAGCGCATCAACCAACTTTCCTCTTCTCCCTAAAACTCTACATCTGACTTATATATTACTGACGTGGTGGTACCGAGAAACGCCCTATACTACGAGGGCAATAGTGTTCAAACACCTGAAGTCCTCCCATATCAAGTTTCAAAAACCATGCTTCACAGCCATTTAGTACGACAGAAAACTGCTGCACACTACACATGACCATTAGTAGGCGATCGGATATTGCTGCGACACCGTAAATGATTAGTTCGCCAAGGTGAAGTGAACCTTCTCTGTCCATTCAGAGATTTTATCCGACTTCACAAATAAGTGAAGCAGTAAACGCGCTTACCCACTCCTTTTCCTAATGTTAGAGGAGGTATCAATAAAGACCGGTCCAGAAGCTATAGTTCGAATTTGGGCGGTGGGAAATTCATCCAAAACATTCTCAAATCGCCATTCAGAGCATCTGGTTAAGATCTTGACTTAACAGGACTATATCATCTGATGACTAAGGAGTTTCTCGTAACAAAGTAGATGCCCGTAAAGTCAGACAATGAAAAAAGACCTATATAAGCATGTATACGACAAAATTAAATCAGAACGAAGAGTGGATATCCTCAACGGATGCCTTTCAATAAAGACAACCCATTTGATACATCAATACAGGCTCTGACTGGACCATGGATGTTCGAAAACATAGTCTGCAGTGGCGATGTGCTGGCCATGCGCCCGTTTTAGTTGGATGCACTATCATAAAACTTATCGATCGAAAAAGTCGAACGTTCTCTTCACGTTAACAGATGCAACTAGTATCCGGTGTCGATAACTGCCCTGGTCCCAGAAATCTGGCGAAGGGTGATTTTGTCCATACACCTTCAATTAGGTATGAAACCTGCATTATTGTTGTTGTTGTTCCCAGGCTTCATCTAGACACTTGGTGATTGTAGAATGAAGAATTTCAGAGTGCTCATAAGACGGATCCCCTGTAGTAAGTAAAAGTGTATGTTTCCAATTCCTTAAAGACTGGGACAATTAGCGATCGAGACCAGTCTGAGATGATCACTTGTAGTTCTCACGCCTGTATTAGTCTAACCAACAATCCCGAGTCAGCATCTTGAAATACCTCTAATGCTAACCGATAGGGTTCTGTTGCTCTTCCTCTTTGCAATTTTTCTTAAAACCCTATCAACTTCAAAAGCAGGAGGTTCTATATCAACGTTCACTTCAGAACGCGAATCGACAGTGGTTGGTTGAAGAGTAGTTGGAAGCCCGACGAAGTGTTATTCGAAGTTTTCATTCAATAGTTCCAGTCTTTTCCCATGCCAGTAAATCATAGGCCCATCCTTTTCAGCTACAGTGTCACTAAAGATTGCTATTACACAAGAAAGGGGATCCTATCACCTGTAAACAAAGAATTTTTGAGTAATAATAATGCTAATAATAGTTATGATAGAAGGATAGGTAAAAAGCATTTCATACAGATAGGCTAGTCGTCTGATATGCACATATCCAAATCAAATATGCATTCGAAAGGTAAACACCATGCAAATAATGAAGAAAATTCGGTTAATTAATACTATCAATGAGAACCATTAAACTTTATTCATAGAATGGGGAAGAAAAATAACAACATCAGACTACTTAGATGAGAATTTCTTTTTATGCGAACAGGAGATAAAGAGGTATTTAAGAATTAATGTTAGTGGATGATTGCTTCCCCCTACGATGGGATTCTTTAGCACTGAACACATTCTTAGTCTTACACTATCAATAACTGCACACTAGGCACAGAACGACAGCGCCAGTACACTAATACCGAAACAAGAAAATTAGACAAGTAGTGAGGAGATAGATACGGGTGGATATAGATTTATTCATTTTCTGCTGAGAAAACTTCATTCACCACAAAATACTTTGTTGATACAGATAATTAAAAACTAGGATTAGTAGTAATCCTTGAACAACTTTGTAGATTTTTTCTATGTGATGACTGGTTATTCACACAAATAGCGTGAGAACAATTAAATCATACTTACTCAATGGGGAAAAAAATCACACAACATTGAAATTGATTCTCGCTTGCCTGACTTCGATCACAATAGCAGGACCCTTACTTCATAGTTTAATGATAAATACGTGGACACATTGACATTTGCGAAGGTAAAAGGAAAAAAATTTAAATAAACCACTAAGAGTGACTGACAGAATCAACGTAGAACCTCGCACACAGGTGCATCGGCTCAGGTTGCCACACCTCACAGTAGTACACAAAGGACAGATGGATAGCAAAAGTGATATTAAAGTAAATAATTTAATGTGATAGAATAAACAATCTGAAGAAAACGGATAGTGCAAATATTCAAGCTTTAGATGTCAAGGAGCGAGTACATCTGCGCTACTGTGACCGATTTCCAGGCGTATCACCAAGAATACTCAACCACTGATTCCTATCATCTTGCGAACCCCAACCAGACAGTCCAAATCTCCCCACACAGCTCAGACCAATAATAAGAGACTTCATGGACTGGTGCTAGGTTTTGGTCTGGTCACCCTTAACTTTCTTCCAACTTCTCCTATCGTGGCACGTCGAAGTAGGCCGGTGGATCGGCATGCGCAGTACATATCCAACCCATCTCAATCGACTAAGGTTCACAACCTCATCAATCAACTTGCCTGTCTTTCCTTGTACTCTTCGACTGACTTCAACATTGCTCAAACGTTGAATCCAGCAAATGCAAGTAATACTTCGAAGACATCTGTGATCAAAACCCTGTAATCCCTTACTGTCTTCTAATTTTAACGGCCATGTCTCACAGCCGTACAACAGGACAGAACGGACTGCAGCGCAGTATACCCATCCTTTGATAGATAGTCGGATATCTCGTCAGTGGGCGCCGCAGGTGACACAAGTTGGCAAATCCGAAATGCTAAACAGATGATCACCGTTGTCGGTTTATGGGCATGACATTCCGTAGATATCTTCTACATGTCTTTCCGATTGGCTCAGCTCCCCTACTTGAGTGTTAAAATCAACTGCCATTATGACTATATGTGAACGCTCTGTTTTCTGTGGGAAAGTTGACAGCTTCTTATAGAATTCATTCTTTAGATCATCCGAACTGCAGTCGGTGGGTGCGTATGTGGAAACTATGAACAGACATCGGTTGAACTCACGATCCTTCCTAGTTCTCACAGATCCATTCAGTAGAACATCACATAGATATCTATTGGCTGGCATCCAGTCGAGAAATGCAATTCCTGCCCTACAGCTCGATGCTAATCTACACTATGAGAGGGAGCCAATAGGTCTTTGGATACATTTAAGATGAATGTTGAATATTCACAACAATGGCCAGGTGAGATCAATTTAATAACCACACTCGGGTCCCGTATACGTGTCTCAGAGACATCAGAGATACCAGAGTTTTGGCGAGCAATGCTGGCTATCCGATTTGGCATAGAGTTCGGAAATTGAAAGCTCCTACATGAAGTCGACGGTGTGGTCTTAAGAGATTTCGATGGCTTTGATCGTTGGCAATGGTTAGAGTAAGAGGTTGGGTGAGGCGCAAAAGACTTAATAGAGGTAACAGGAGGTGAATGCAAAGGAGGTGACAGAGTTTAGAAGCATAGGTTATGTTTGACTGGGTCTTGTGTACTACTGGAAACGTGTGGGCGGTTGACATCTACCGCTCAACCACAAGTTACCTGAAAGAGAAAAGGATTTGTGTGACCGCAGAGGCTATCAGACATCTGCTTAAGGCCTATCACACAACCTTTTGTGGGATATTGTTTTGAGGTTTGGTAATTCTGACGCCGGAGAGGAGATATCTATACCGCTGGGTCCGAAAGTCCGTGGGGCAGCATGAGTGTTACTTTGGGGTCGATCTCTTCTATCCCCCCGTTTTCATAGGGAGGGCAACATCAGCGTGGAACTGCTGGTCATCCAGGGGAAACACCTTACTGCTGTCACACCTCACCCAGTTAGCAGCAGTAAGACTTCGTGCTGATACCCTCATCAGTAGTGTAGTAATTTATGTTACATATGTGACTCCTTTTCGTTTTACCACTATACAACAGATCTTTCTGGAATGGTAGGACCTTGAGGGAACAAGCATTCCGCCAGGATAGCTCGTTGGGTCATTGTGACATGCAGGCCAGACCATTACGTCAAGGTAGCAGCTACCGGTCAGCAAGTAAGAAACATCTAGGCAGTTTACACCGAGACTCCAAACCGACTGCTGCCATTGAAAATTTACAGGACAACCTGCCTGATTGCAGAGCTATTACCTTTAGAGACAATTATTTTTCGCTGTTTATAGCAACGACTGATCTCCATAAGATATGAAAGAATACTTAAATATTACTTTGAGTGTCTTAAAATATTAGTTTTTGACAACCGTTGCAACTCACTGGCTTGCTTGATAAGGTTCTAGCGCTTGTAGTGAAAGGGTGTTGGCTCCTAGTCTTAATAGGAACATCTATGCTTCCTAAGTTACAGATAACCCAAATTATGAGGAAGCATATTTTTAGATTTTGTCGATTTCCCCAACCAGCTACAACCAAAAGGTAAATATATCAGCTATTTTTCCGAATTGCTGCATGAAATTTGAGTGTTTTTGAGGTTGGAAACACGTTACTAAAAGATGATAACATTATTTTCATATTTACGTCTTTACCACACAAGTTGTCTATGAATACGTGTTTTCCGTAACAATATATATGTTGCATTTATTCCCAATAAGTGACAGTAATACTTATCAGAGTACTAACAGTAATACGAATTTCCAAGACCGAAGTAGTTATCAGAATGCATCAAACTTCTCGGTAAGTAATTTACATTCACACTCATCAATGGAAAATGGATGTCTTCAATGAGTCAAAACACTTATAATTTGAATGCTTGAAGTCGAAAATGCTCAACGAATGAAACAAATAATTAGGTATGTTGTAGAAACATTGATTCTAATTAGGCATCTACATTGACCTTGGGAGATAAGTTCACATTCTTGACACAAGGTCAACTGAGCCTGAAAGGCCGACCTTACAAATGAATTCAAACTAGCGACCTTCAGATTATCATTTCAGAGCTGTCATGGCTAAACTACAACACTATCGCTCATCAGGTTCAACCATTGTGCCAGTTATGAAATTAGACAAATGCAATTAGATCTGGTAGTAAAGTTAGCAGAGCACCGTGCTGCAGATCACAGCTTCAGAATCCTTTCGTAAGCCAGGTTCAGTGTAAGCCCCAGTCATCATACTGAAACATGCATCTGTTTGTATTTCACTTTGTGATACTATCTCAACACCGTATTCAGAAGACAAAAGCGATGTAGTAACTTTTCAGTACGTATGATAATGTATGATAAGAAAACCAGAGAAACAGTTAATATGTAACCCAAAACACAACTATAATTTAATGGTTTACTTCTTGTATCTTGAAAAATCGCTATTATTTGTATTTCATAATATTACTATGCAGACACCTTTATAAGTCATCACTCATTATTTTTAGTTGTTTTACCATCAAAAATTAAGTTATTTGGATATGTGTTTCGCATTTTCCAAGCCTAAGTACTTTGACTAGGTGATTGTAAATTATAGCTCTGAAACTAACTGTCTTTCAAACACCACCCAAGCAAATACACTTGCTATACTTGTGTACGTGTGTGAGTGTGTGTGTTATTATCACAATCAATGTTACTGGAGGTATTTGAAATGAAATAGCCGGTTGAGTACCATTATTTTAACTTACAACTAAGTTGTTTTATCTGCGCTGATTTCAATTGACTTTTAAAACAAATTACTTATTTACTAAAGAGACCCAGAGCATTTTGTAAAACCAAGCTAGTAACTAGTAAGGACTATAGCCGTTACATCTTGAGCAGAAAACATGTGAATAGAATACTTTGATGTAGTAGAATAAGGAACTCACAAAAAGCGTGCCATAGGACAGTTCCGTGCAGATGTTGGACTGCCACATGGACTTCTAGATCGTAACACACCACCTTCCCTGTTTATTTCATCCGATTCTTCTACGTCAACAGTATCCACTGAAGATTCTAACTCTTCACTCATATCACAGGTTTCATTCATTTCACCTTCATCTACCTCTATCTCTTCCATACGTCCAAGAACTGGTGGCCCATTGTGACGATACTCTATTACCTGCCGTAGAAGTCTACGAATAAGACGTGCAGCGAGTTGTTCCAACGGTGTAACTTCTTGTTTAGGGGCTATAATAGTTGAATAAAAGTTGCAATAAAGGTGATTATTATCACACGGACTTTATTACTTGTATCACTAAATCTGAAGTTTCTGGGTTCCTTTCAAACGATTTACGGACTCAGTCCCTGTAATACTCAAATATATGCAGCTTATTACATTTTTAAGGCGTTTTTCTCGACATCAGCAACCGTAACGTATAAATGACTATAAAATCTTTAACACCATAAGAATTTTCTTGACAAACTTAGAAGTAATTCATCTAATCCCCGTTTTCTATTCCAAACTGTTCCAAAACTTCCCAGTTTTTCTTGTTTGATAAGTTGATAGAAACAAGTCTAGCTCATGCAGTAGTCGTTGTGTGTCTGCTAAGACAGTGCTCTATAAATTTTCAATAATCGTATTGAGTTCAATAAAAGTAGAAGACTACATAGTTCAAGACTTTTTTGTTACAGATTAGATAATTACGTTTCACCCTTCAAAGGGAAAAAATATCAACCATGACGATGAGACATAGCAGTCTAGTTCAGCAGGGAACAGCCGTTTGTTAATCTTCATATTGACTCTTTATGCACTATTTCACTACTCAGACATAAAAACTCAGAAATATGACCACAGCTGCATTTTTTACGCATAAGTCACATAGTTTCATATCACATTGCATATCTTCTATCATCTGACTGGTTTGCTATTAGCTGATCACAAGTAAGAACTGTAATGCGTGAAAACTGGGTTCGAGGTAATCGACGATTCAAAGTAATTAGAGTAGTTATATGAGAAAGACGGCATAAAAATTCGATAAATCATGATTGAGAATGTACTTACGTGGTTCTACTTTCTTCCTTGAGCCTATTATGGATGGAAGAAGTGTTGCAAAGGTGACTGACATCAATTCGGAAGCAGTTACTTTGTTTTCATCAACTCGCCTGATTTTCATGAACTAAATTTAGTAGAATAGAGAATTCACACAGTGGATTGCAGTTTCAATATCAAGATTTGCTTGTCATAACCTCCTTTTACCAACCCTATTAACTTAAATTTTTACTACATGTAACTATGAAAAGTGGGTCAGGCTTGATTTAAGGGAAAACGCTTGTCATTACACAGTTCTTATTCACTCTCAGTAATCTTCGAATTTTTGATTATCCTCAGTAAACTTCATCTAGTCATCCTTTCGAATTTCATACACGTTTGTCAACCTTAACACCACTCTTTTCCTTCTTACCTTTTCTTTGCATGCCGCTGTGTAGTGTAGAAACTTGGAGAGGCGATTCTGCACTAGGTTCTACGTTGATTTGTGTACATCTGTTGGATAGTATTTTCATAACTTGAGGAAATGTAATAATGCATTAAAGTATTTAACATAATGTAGTGTTATAACTAGGATTGATTGCTTTTTACATTTCATGTACTTTCACAATTAGAATAACCTTTTGCAATGTAAATCAATGGTAAATTTGATAGTCATGTAGTGTCAATTGATAACTGACAGAAATAAGTACTTTTATTTTGTTTCAGCTAGTGTAGAAACACAGTTTAAAAACCGAAAAACTATCATCAATTTAGCTGATTGCCTTTATAACGATTACTAGAATCATATTTTTGTCTAAGACAAGACTTTTGTAATCAAGTACTTACTGCTTAAAGCGTACAAAAAACTGAAAGGTGAAAAATCCAATGCACTTTTTCTAAGAGTATGATTATTTACAAATCTAGAAATTTTATTTCTTTAATTTGGAGGTTTGTGAGGATTTATTTATTGATTTCAGGTTGATATTCATCATGGATTGATATCAGCTGGAGAAATATTGTAAACCTGGGAGAGCCGCACAGCTGTTTCGTCCTAGTATGGGACTCCTCGGCAGTGCGCACTCATGACTCCACTCTCCAAGGATCGGACCCAGGACTTTCAGGTTCTGCGGCCAGCATGCTATCATATTTCCTACTTCTGTCAGTTCAAGATATACTGCGACCTCCATCTAATGCCGTCGTTGAATATTTGTCCTTATATCCCACCCGGTTTTATCGCTGAATGTTTACTTAGTGACTGAAAACGACTAACCTGTCCAGTGTTCAAGTGTTCATGATACTATCATGACAGTGTAATCACTATGTGTATCAAACTGATGTCCTATCAAAATCAACAATGTTAATCAGTGATAATGAATAACAGTAACCGAAACAAGTTTGATGGACAAGCAATCCTGGTTCGGCAATGAAGCTAGGTGAGGGTCGGTAAAAACTATCTATATCTGCATCATCTAAGTTTTTCCTTTAGGGAGTGGTAGTTTATCTCGAAATCAAAATGCACTCAGAAACCTCGTGCATATTTGTGCAGTAGGCAATGAGCCACACCTAGTGTGTAAGGGCTAGTGATACCAGCTGGCTGCCCAAACGTCAGTAGGTGGAGCTGGTTTCCAACCCGTGACCCAATGATTGAAAGTCATCTCCCTAAACCAATGAGCCACCATAGTAGATCTACCGAAAAATAATATATTTACTACATACTCCTGCTAGCACACTTGTGGTTCACCAATTTTGACTTCCTTAATGAGGAAAAACAACTAAAATTTACCAAGGTGAACTAAAACCGATGACATGATACTCACATTTTTTTCTTAGAACTAGAAGACTGAAGTCACTTTTACAGACTACAAAAGAATTTATCAGGAGTCGTATAACTTCACCATTTCTAAAGGCAAGATAACTAACTGTATGTTATATTTAGTTTCTAAGTTAAACAATGAAAAGTAATTATTGTAACAGTATCCAACATGGTGTGGCATTTTCTTGATCTGGTATAAAGTCATATGATCAAGTAAGCGAACGAATTTTCAATAGGAGTAGGAATAAACTCGGTAAAATAAAGCATTTGAAGACAAGGTGATACGTTAATTTTGAAGGCATCGCAACTTTCCTACTGAGACTATAATGAGGGAAAAATTCGCATCGAATAAAATTAATCACCAACGAGTGTTAGATTAATTCAGTCTGAAGGTTTATGGAGATTTACTAATTGATTTCAGACTGGAATTTCAATCTAACTATCTTCGAGAGGTAATTCCCGAAGTTCCAATGGGAAGTCGTGACCAGTAGAGCGAACCAAGTCGAACATGAGGACAGGTACTCAACGACATTGGATGAAGGTCGTGCCATATCGTGAGCTAACAGAAGTAGGAAATACGGACCACTGGATTCTAATCCAGTGGCTCAATGGTAACGTGCTGGGCGTGGGACCTGAAGGTCCCAAGTTCGAGCCCTGGTGGGGTCGTGGGTGCACACTGCCGAGGAGTCGCATACTAGGACGAAAAAACTGTCTAATGCTTCCAGGGTCTTCTTTGTTCCGCCAATTGATGTCAGTCCATGAGGAATTCCAACCCGTAATTTCAGAATCGTCCAAGAAATACCACAGGAAGAAGTGTGATACAACGGGCATACTTTATTAAGTAACTCATACGATATTAAAAGAGAATTACTTACTTTATCTCTGTAGGGTGCAACTAAAATACCACCGACTTTGAGCAGTCGAAGTATAGACTGTAAGTGGATGCGATTAGTAACTGCAGCCCCAACATATATTCGATCGTACACTGGCCAGCGTAGTACATCAGAATCTAAATAAATTTGAAAGAAATCATACTTCGAAGACTGGATACACAAAGAAAACAAGAACAGATAATTAGCTTCACACGCATATATTGAAATGATACTATCAGTTGCATGTAATTATTGTAGCACCTACTTTGTTGATTAGAAGATGAATTATCAAAATGAATGCAAGGTGGTAGGTCAACAGTAAAATCTTCTTCCCAGCTGACAGGATCACTGCCACTATCACCTTCTCCATCTCCCTCATTGTGACCACTGTTTTCACTGGTATTGTCTTCATCCATAAGTCCATTCTCTTCTACTTCCATTACTTCTGATGAGTGGCCTTGTCTTTCTTCTGTAGAAGCGTGAAGGCTTGAAGAGTTAATTATATTAACATTTGACTGACTATCAGAATCATTATGAACAATTTCAGATTGAGAGGCCAAAGAGGATTGCAGAAAGACACTGAGGTGTTCATTTAAGCCTGAAGGCTGATCCAGGGGGACGACTAAATCTAAAATATTTCCATGTAGGAAAACTGGAGGGCAAAATGATCGTTCAAACGGCGCGTCGCATTCAGACATGAAGGCTGCCAAATGCTCACGTGAAAAGTTGATATTAAAGTCATTTACTTCAATACCATGATTAATCCCATTATGGCCTGAGAGGAAACAATTGAATTTAAAATTGGTATGTTTATATAAAGTTATTTTACAAAATGTGTCTAGCTGAGTACCCAAAAAAATATATGCAACAGTAAATAATAAATGGAGTACGACAGATAAAACGCTTTGACATTATTAATTGTAACACAACTGAATGAGAGGCATGTAAAAAAAGACAGAAAAAGGAAATCAATGTAGAACCTTGCACACAAATGGATTCACTCGGCTTGCCACACTTCACAGTAGTATACAAAGAAAAACTGGACGAGAAAGACTGATATCAAAGTGGACAAAGGCGTATGAGAAAAGGAAATTTAAAAATTAAGACTACTCAAAACACTCAAGCTTTAGATGACAACAAAAAGTGAATGCATCTACCAATGCCCAGCCATATCAACGAGAGTTCTCACCCACTGATCCCATCATCTCGAGACCCCAGTTAGCTAGTCTACATCTCATATGGATAATTAACAGTCACGAACTTCATGCAATACTACCAAGTCTTAGTCTAGTCACTCGGAACCTTAGCCAATCTAATTCAACTTCCCCAGCATTCCACATCGAGATACGAAGTGGCTAAGCATGCGCATCACATGCAAAAGACACTTCAGTAGATAAAGGTTCACAACCTCATTGACTGACGCACTTCCCTTCTCTAGAACCCTTCACCTGACCTCAACATTGTTCACACGGTGATTCCGCCAAATGGAAACAATGCTATGAAGACAGCTGTGGTCAAGAACTTCTAACTGCTTCAGATTTTCTACTTTCAACGGTCATCTCACAGCCATACAACAGAACAGAACAGACTACAGCACAGTATACTTGTTTTTGATAGGTAGTCGGCTATCTCGTCAGTGGATGCCAGAGATGATGCAAGTTGGCAAATTTTAAACAGGCCCTATCTACCTAAACTGAGATTACGTTAGCAACCAGCCCATTCAGACTGATGCAACTCCTCAAGTAAGTCAATTAATCAACGTATTTAGCCACTTTACCGTCTATCATTAGCCTGAGAGTGGTTGCAGATCAGTCCTGCAGTATCATCTTACACTTCATACGTGCAAAAACATATTCATATTTCTGCTCAATGCATTAAGAACACCCTGGATTTTGTCAGCAACTTAACCCAGCATGAAAATATCGTCTGCGTACTCCAAGTCAACTAGATAATGTTCAGGGAGTAGATCAACCCCTCTGAAGTCAGATGTACTTAAGGCTATGTCCATTAACGAATCCATAAAAAAATTAAATAGGAACGTGGACAACGTGCATTCCTGGCGGATACCACTAGTTGTCATCGATTCAAATGACAACTCTACACGGCTGCGTGAGTTGAGCATAGAGCTTTGATTAGCGTTATATACATGGTTGGTACTCCCTTTACAGTCAGACACTGCCACAACTCACTGTTAACAGAGTCGAATATCGACTTCACGTGAACAGATATGGCAAGTGTCGGTTGCCTGTGTTTCAGAACTTGTGAAAGTAGAAAATCTGGTCTGTGCACCTTTGCTCAGGTCTGAAACCTGAATGGCCTTCTCTAGTTTGCTATCCTCCAGCGTCGGATAACTATAAACCCCAGGATCTTGGATACAAGCCTAGTATATCCGATTGATGATTGCCATCAAGTAAGAAGAAACTTGGGTCCTGGATTCCACTGCTAGCCATTTCCATCATTATTATTATTGATGATAGGCTTTTTCTAACGACATCGTATTCAGAAATTCCAATCACTACTTTCCCTTTTATCAAATCTTCGTCAATCTTCTTTGGATCATACAAACAGATTTACAGATATATTATGTAGTAGGACAGACAGGCAAATAAAACCGGAGCCTCACATATAAATATATCGGTTCAATTGGCCCCACTTCATGATAGCATGAAAAGAAGTAGATGATAAAAAAGAATGATTTCAAAGTAGACAAGGGTGTACGGCAGGTAAAGGAATATATATATATATATATATATATATATATATATATATATATATATATATATATATATAATGTTCGAACATCAGAGTGAATGAGGCTATATCTATTAATACATCTGTAAAAAGGTTAAACAGGAAAAGTAACAGCCCCCATCCATGGCAGACACAACTGGTTGTCGTCGCTACAAATGGTAACTCCACCATAAACCCTTACACAGCTGTGTGAGTTCAAGTAGAGAGCCCTGATTACGATCATACACTTTCTCAGCATTCCCTTTACAGTCACAATGTATTCAACGTAATGGACTCATATGCCGATTAAGAAATATAGTAAGTGTCGAGTGCCAGTAAGTGTACATGTCCTCCAAAATATATCAGAGGAAGATCCGATCAATGCATTCTCATCTAGGTTTAAAAACTTTCTGGTTCTTTTGAGTTTTTTGTTTCGAGCTCCGGTTAGGTGTCGAATAATGTCGTAAACGAACTAAGCTTTTCTTGGTCAATTTGATAACATAGTTAAAAATAACACAAGTGATGGAGGTCGCAACCACTAAACATTTCCAATAATTCGAGTTTGCAAATTGGTATTTAAACTCCCAGATGATAACCAAAGTTGAAAAAAACTTAACTAGTAGGAAATGAACTAAGTAATCCCAATGTCACTGGCTCAAATTCTCCAGAGACTCAGACTTTCCATTAATCTCCATCACCCCTGAAAAATATTAGTTACTGATCAAAAAATGAAGGCATGATATGACAAGGAGAATGAATAACTGGATACTTAAATTTAGTTAACATTAACAACGTAAAATTTATCCAATAAAACAAAAGTAGGGAAGAAAGTTCACACAGAATAGAGTGAAAATGAAGTGAAAGCAGGAGAATTTCGAAAATGGACATGGGTAATTTTAACTAACAGGTCTATTCCATTTGTTTGATGGACGAGTACTGTACAGACACTTGTCTCAACAGCACATTCTACACATCTACTTACCTAAGGAAAATCAGTTCACTAAATGCATGCGGAAATCCAAAACCCGACAGGTTACTCTTCACTTGCGGACAAACCAACGAACAACTAAATAATAACAGCCTAGTCTTAAAAATAGTCTCGTTAACATCAAGATTTCTGATGTTAGTGGTTAAAACAGTTTCTGATCACTGCCGGATGCAACTGCTACTTCAATTTTATTCGCACATTCTGACTATCAAGTCTCGTGATCCTTGTGTAATGAATGTCGAATAATCTCTAACGTTAACCACTTACGAACAACACAGCTCGCTATCCACCTGAATGAATCCATGAGTATCAGAAAGTCAGAGAGAGCTTACAGATATCTTTAGAAGTTATAAGTGGCCTTGCTGCTTATTCTCATAGACTTTTAGGTACAGCCAGTTCTGTCATACACTTCATCCGGGGTGCGCAATTAGTTGCAATACTAAGTGCGATCTTGTTTTGAATGAAGATTATACTGACTGATATAATGCAGGATGAACAGCATACCCATAAACAAGCACTCTATAGGGAGTGACAGACCTGTTTACATCCAAGCAGTCAGTAGGTGAGCGCAAAACTATGTACTTGAATCCGAGGGTGAGTAACAGCTGTAATAGCTATGACAGAAGTTGGTACTGCTTAGGTTGTAACAAAAAAAGGTTGTTAGGAAAAGATAGACAGTGTTTAGCCTGACACCAACTGCCCCTCAATAGTCGCCTAAAAGTCACTTTTGTGACACTAAACACAGCTTGTGTATCCAGTTCCCTAGTTAACACCGTGATACTTATTGAACAGACTCATTGAAATATTCACTTAGCTAACGACAAAATATGCTTAGACGCACACATAGTGAAATCTGTTAAAGCATATTTAGATATGAAAAAGAGCCATCCTTTATTTCGTCAGTTACTTCTGATTGTAGATGAACCCTATAAACTGAAAGCAAACTACGACTGCGCCATAACTCCATCACAGCAAGCTATTTAAACTACGACGGTAACTCTCATTGTCTCAATATCTAAAAGACGTTTATGATACGGTAGGAACTCAAAGAAATGCCTTTCCAGTCAATGAACGCCAGCGAGTTGCTGCAGTATGCAGTCCTGACCACTAATTTAAGACGGCAGCTGTCTAACCAGTTTAGCCTTTAAGCTCACTGAGTCAATAATAACTCGATGCAGAGTCAGCACTCAGAAGCAACTCACAACAGGTTAAGAACCTAGTATGTTGTGCGTTGACTAAATCTATATTCCCTAAATAATTCTTAAATGTGGATTTGTATTTCAGTGCTGCATTCATCCGTATTTTTCGATTCGTAGTTGTTTGGCACTTTTAGACAAGGCTATATAATAATATTCATAGCTAGAAAAAATCCCAGTAAGATATATTACTGAACGATTCGAATTCTAGTATTCCCATAGAAGCTTGCAAGGAACTATTGTCTGAACTCACTGCAGTGGTTCAAGTTAAAGATTTGCAATATCCCACTGTTTTTCAAATTAAAAGTCACAAGAGTGAAAACAAACAGGTTCGACACATCGTAGCACTTTTAAATCTTTGACACATCATTTAATTCAGAGAGATGTCCAGTGGTAACAAATCAAGGTGTGTGCTATCTGACCGGAAATTAACAACACGTTGTCACCTTGAGATACAAAGTGATTTCAAATATATATATATTGTACACTGGAAGGAAATAAATATAGCTCTAGGGACGGAAAGTCATCTGTTGAGCCGAAGACACCACTTAATTTAAGCGAAGCATAGCCAGAAGACTAGTACGTTCTGTATACCTATTTGTTCATTTCATAGGTTCTCTGAGGCAAAAGGCGAAATTAGATGGAGATACCCGTAACAAGAAAAGCTTTGCAAAGCATTATATGCAGAAAAATGTAGATGTTGTCTGTGTCTATATGTGGAAATACATGTTATTCTAGGTAAGTTTAGACAGTTGATTTAGGTGACTTGATGTACTGTTGGTAACCAAGACCCAAACGTTTGATATGCTACAGTAAAATAATGAGGAGAACAAAAGTTAGACAATAAGGTATATGAAACGGTAAGTTTTTAAAACAGCATTCGGAGTGAGCCATGTGATGGTTGCGGACTAAATAAAATAAGGCTTCCATGAAGCGACGCAGTCTACGTAGCATGACTCTAGATTCAGACATCAAACTTCGTAAACCAGTGATACAGTTCCAGTTGCTAAAATTTGCCTCAGTAACACAGAAAATGAACATAGGGATATTTAAACGACTGTGATTAAACGAGAGTAGGCATGTGCAAACATGTTAGGATTTGAAGAAAAATGGATTAATTACACCATCGTATAAAATTCAAGTCATATTACCTACTCTGTAACGTCAAATTTCTCCGATGTCATTCTATAAGCCTACACTTTGTCATACGTTTTAGACCAGTCATAAATGACTACAAATTGTCGATCTTAATTTAGAAAACATTAAACTGGTCACTTGGTAGTCTCAGTACATAGAACTAATATTCTCAAGACAACTGATAACTGCAGTTCTGTAGAGTACAACAACAAGAAATGCCAAAAAGTACACCTTGGTTCATAGTTAATATGGGCTCCAGTAAATGAATGAATCAGTAAATGCTAATTATTCTTCTTAAAGCTACTTACAATTCCAATGTTGATACCTTCAAGGCTCTGAAAGAAGTAAAAGGTTTATGATCGTTGTAGAATTTCGCCATCATTGACAATCAAATAACCCCGAAATGAAGAACCACGTTAAAAGCGATTTTGAACTTGTTCTATGAAGCTATGGATGGATAAAAGGATATCACAGAAAGACCCATGCGAAATTGTGGCATTAATTCTCTTTATACCGCAGGAAATTATTTGTCATATGACCTTGCACTATTTGCTAATTCAGCAATGTTTTTCATATCTGCTTTTCCCTTTAAGGATAAGAATACGAACAGGAAGAGTATGCTATAGTTTTAGGTTTGCACACTTAGTTGAAACCCTTATTTCAACTCTCTAAACTTTACCACTCAGTTTCAAGTAAGCACTACTCATTTATTTATACAGCAACTAACAAATACCAACTAATTTCGCTCCGCCTCACTGCTAGTTGTTCGTTGTTTTATAACTCGAATTTCTCGTTTTTCACTTCGAAATCTATCTATCCTTATCTGAAATTTAAATTCATAAGCCTGGTCCCGAATTTTAATTCTCAAAGTCTAATTCTTGAATCCTTCCACATAGTTTAAGAATCTGAGGGTCATGAAAGACTGCTTGAAGGTTTATTTACTCCGTATCACAGTCAGAGTGGCTCAGTGATATAAGGTCACATATGAATATCTTAGTTATACACTCTTACTTGAAGCAGTTAAAAATCTAGATAAATTCTAAACATCGTTAAGAAACTATATTTAACTTTGCCTTTGCTTCTGCATTAAAATTATTTTTTAAAAGCTTTCCCATTATTAGCAAGTTTTAGGTTATCAATAAGTCCCTAGAGAACGGAAAAAATCTAAGTTTCACAGAGATCTTTAGGTGGTCAAATTAAAAACAAAGTCTAAACTTGGAAGCGTCAGATCAAAAAGGAATATAAATGGCCAATACCTGAAACGAAATAAGACCTTCGTTTTTTAGAAGTGTGCTATATATCACACAACATATATACAAACTCTAGGTACACAGGAAAGGTAAGGTCTCCTACACACTGTCACGTTTCGAAGTTTCTAAAATCTAAGTGTATAAAGGTCTTAACAGTAGCACTGTGGGGTGAAAAGTCTAAAGCTCTGAATTAAATGGCTCACACGTTCTAATGAAGAGCGCTCAGTACTTATTAGTGCTTACTACTGAAAATAAAAAGCGACCTACCCAACAACAATCCAATTACCGTACTAAGGTATCCTGTACCACTACCCACATTTAAAAAGCAGTTCCCTGGTTGGATATCCAGGTTTTTGAGCGCCACAATGTAAATACTAGGAGCTGAAAGATGAAGCGAACCCGATCTCCAAGCCAAATCCATGTACGCTCGTGGGCTCTTTTCATCGAAATAACCTCCTCTATCAACTAACCGTAGTGAGCGTTCAACCTCGGGATTTAATTTGAGCCCACTATTCACTAACTCGTCAATAAGCGACTGGTTATCTCGGCCACGACTAACGCGTCCACCCATCGTTGAGAATAGCCAGCATTAACAAATAGGCGTCACTCAGGGTCAGAACTGATTTTCGTGCAAGGTCACTCCAATATCCAATATCTTTTAACGAGCTAGCGTAAACCAACTGATTTCTTTGCGCTCGCTTCTAGGTCTTGCGGAATGGTTCCAGGTCTTTGGTGGACTTCAGTGCAGTAGGTCTATCCACTAGACTGTTGTAGCTCTGGTTAGCCCGATGGGCGGTTGGGTATTGTTTAGATTTGTAAGGGGTGTTGTTCGTTTGTTTGCTTTTCTTCCGAGGACTGTGGTGCATATGGGATCCTCAAATGTCGTGCCAGCAGACAATTGGTCGGAGTGGTTGTAAGAAGGAGATGAAAAATATGTGCAGAGAAATCAAGGGAAAGTGCAGAGAGACAAAATAGGAAAATAGAAAGAAAAGAGGAAGAATAATATATAAAAAAGAGTAGGAAAAAGGGAACTGCGCAGAAGAACACAACATTGATAGGTTCATGGGGAATAGGTGATAGGAAGAGCTTTTGTTAAAGTTCGAGGACGTAGAGTCAGAAGTAAGAAGAACAAATAACATTATAGGACGAACGGGGAATATAGTTGTTCTCTTAGTAGAGGACGGTAACTGGGGTGGGGACGCCTACAGGAAGGTATAAGGTTAGGCCAAGGTCTCGGTGATAGTGGTTTCACTGAGTTTTCAGTAACGGTTGGTCGTACCGAGTTAGTAAGCCGTGTTAGCCTAGTCCACATTCCAGTTGGATGAGCGCAAATCTTGCGTCGCTACGTAACTGTCCAAACTCTTCTTGAAGCTGTCAACAGACCAAGCAGTAGCAATCTCGGCAGGCAATGCGTTTCAGTGGCCGCAAACTCGCGGAAAGAAGAAGTATGATCGCACACAGGTTTTTGCTCTTTGGTGGGCGATCCTCCTTGGGTTACCACTAGAATCGCCATAGTGGCCGTTCGGTAGGATTCCACTGTTCGGATGACTCGGGTTACTGAGTATTTTGTAAGCCGTTATCAAGTCACCGCGTAATCTGCGGTAGTTTAGGGAGTAGAGCCCTAGATCTTTCAGCCTGTCCTGATATGGTCTTTGCCTCATTCACACGACACCCTTTGTAGCTCGCTTTTGGACTTTCTCCAGGAGGTTCACGTCCCTTTTCAGATATGGTGGTGCAATGGCGTTGTATACCTCTAGGTGGGGTGGTATATAGGTCTTATGCAGCTTCAAAAAGAGTTCCAGGGTCGAGGCACCCAGTTGTCTGCGCATGAAGTGCAGTGCTGCGTAGGCTCTGGAGGCATTTCCTGGATAATTGGGTCTAGTGTCTAGTTTGTCAGTTGGTATTAGTCCTAGGTCTTTCTCTGTGGTGTTGTGGGAGAGTTGTGTTCCACAGAGAGAATAGGGTACCTTCTGAGAGTCTGGGATGCAGAGAAATATGGCCCAGCACTTATCTAGGTTAAATGCAACTCCATTACTATCCACCCACTCTGCAAGTAATCTCAGACCACTTGCAGTGTACTTGATTCATTTTTGAAGTCACAGATCTCCATAACTTAACATCACTAACAAAGAGTAGAATCGGGAAGCTGAGATTCAGTGGAGGTCGTTCACAAAAAGAAGGAACAGCAGAGGACCCAGAATCGCCCCTTGTGATACACCAGATGATGTCCTCCAAGTTGAGCAGAGACGGCAGAATTGTCTGCCGTCTAGATAGTCCCACAACCATGAAAGCACTTGTCCCTTGATGCCCAACCTTGATATTTTGTGGATAAGAACGGTGTGTGGGGGCTGTGTCTAAGGCCTTAATAAAATCCAGGAAAATAACACGGACAGGAAGTTGGAGGTCCTGGCATGTCGTCCATTTATCATCTGCCGCCAGAATGTTTGTGGCACGGGCCTGACCTCTCTGAGACCATGTTGGGAGTCACTAAGTGCTCCCCTCTTTTCTAAGTACTCCATTACATGCTCGTCTACCAGACTCTGCATTACTTTTGACACCACTGGTAGGAGTGCTATGGGTCGGTAGCATTTTGGTTTCTGCCTGTCTCCACCTTTGAAGATGGGGGACGGAATAGCACTTTTCCACTCTTGTGGAAGCATGTGATTGTCTAAAGAGTGTCGAAACAAGTTACACAGCGGACCGCACAAGGCACCCGAGCATTGTTTCAGCACAGATGGTCGGATATCATCACACCCCGGCGATTTCCCTGGGCGGAGCTTCGACAGTTTTTCGAGGACCAGAGCAGGAGTTACCTTTATTCCAGGTAACTCTACTGCGTTCGGTGGTGCTGAATGTTAGTCGAACAGTTGGTAATTTTGGTTCGATAGGGATGTATTGAGTTGCGTATCGAAGGAAATCAACGTCAATAGTACAAATCGAGAAAACTTGTAGTTTTTGAGCTCTTGCCTCTGTTTTGAGGCTTGGTTGCCTCCTTCTGCTTTAATTATTGCTAGTAGCAGAAGTCCCTACGGTTTTCCTGCTTGTAGCTTTGGGGGCGACGATTGTCTGTTTGAAAGTATTTTTTTCTTGCAAATTGCAGCTTGTTGTATTTGTGAAGTGAAGCGGGCTTGAAGTTGCTGGTAAGATCTTTAAACCCTTTTAAGTTCTTGTCTGTTGCAAGCACCTGCATGTGGGTACCAGACGTTAGTTAAAAAGTGCTAGAAAAAGGGCCTTGGGGTGGAAGAAAGAGAAGTAAAAAGTATTTGACGAAAAGTAAGTGTTACTAGTAGTTATATGGAGAAGGAGTGGGTCTCATTGCAGATGCTGCAGTTGATGAGTTGAGAGATGGGTGAACATATCCTCAGTTTCTACCGGCGACTATTCATGGTAAGCCGCCGACGCACCTATCCAGCAGTCGTCCGAACATGCATGTTGTGCTGTTCAGGACGTCCCTTGCTTCAGACCATGAGCTACAGCTTTCACGAGTAATGCACGTGGGCCGGCGGAACGGTTGGTAGTCCAGTAGTCGGGATGAAATTCCGTTGTTGGTTCGGGTGGTCTGCTGACGCTGTTTGTCAGTCGATTACCAAGGCCAACTTCATTTAAAAGCTACCCAACTGTTGACTGTCATGGAGGTAACGATCTTCTGCACAGCGATCACTTGGCAGTTCTGGGATTCCCACTACCCCCATCATGTAGTTTCTTTTTGAGTTTCCAGAGGCAGATTTTCCCTCCCTCCTGCCTAATGACTTGGGACGGATGAATAAGGTGTCAACAAAGTCCGACTGGCGTGAAAGACTAGGGACGTCTTCTTTCGCCCCCAAAGGCTCTATGTATAACGGCTTTTCTCGACTTGCCTGGTTGCCTTGAGAATGGTGATATAATATCGTGTATAGAGAAAATAGCCCCAGTGTCTAACGGTAGTCAGTGCACTTTTGGCTTCCAAAATGTTATCTCCTGACTAAGAGTAAGTACAATCGCACATCAATGCTGGAATAGATGACCAAGTTCACCCGGCTGTTACTTGCGCTTCCCATAAGTGATACGCCCTATTTTTGGTGGATTTGGTATGTACTTCGTAGAGCCGCTTCTTGATTAAGATGTCTAGTACGTTCTGACTGGAATTCATCAAGGGGCCAGTGGGTGGCGTCTTTTTCCATGTACCCAGTCGTGAACACAGAAGTCCGACCTAAAGTGGTCTTCCTGAGCCCTGATCTGTGTGAGGCTACCAGCGTAGCTTTGCTTTTGGCCTCCCCTGCGCTATCTTTTGGCACTCACTCCACTTTGTTCGAGGAGACTGATGGTTCTCTGGTGTGAAAATTGGCTCCTTTAGGTCCTGTATACGGAGTGTGGGCAGACTTCCGAATTCTGGACAGATGTACCGGAATTGTTCACATGGTTGCTTCTTCATGAACTGATGGCAATGCCGGCGTTGACGAGTGTGGCAGTGTAGATGTACTCACCACTGACACAAGCTGCACGCTTGTGCCTCATCGACTATCAATATGACTTTAATGCCGATGCCGCTGTCACCAGACACCATAGCGTCACCATTCTTCCTCGTGGATACAACCGTACTTGTCGAAAAACTGCATATGACCTTCTTATTCCTATACTAGCCACACCGCTTCTTCTTGGTTGGCGTATTCTCATTTCTCCAACACTTGGAACTACTTTGTGGCATAACCTGGCTCAGATGTGCCATCCGAGTGATAGGTGTGTTGTCCGAGAAACAAAAAGTGGCGGCCTGTTTAAGGGATCCATTACCTTCTCTGCCCATGACCGACTGTGTATGAGGTCGGAAGTGTTGTATAGAGTTGGATCGCGCTATCCCATCGGTACTTCAGGCTTACTATCCAGGACTGGCATGACGGCATTACAAAAATGTTTCTAAATGAGCAGATAAATCAAAGGATGAGCGCAGTGGAAGGATAAAAAAGTAGAGAGGAGAATGGTCATTTGCTGACTTACATCTACACTGAGCCTTATTCACTTGGCCAACGAGTTCAACTGCCGGCTGCAAGTGAGTATGTGGAACCGTGTAAGACGTTTTCCTAGGGATGACCTTCGAAGAGAACCGAAAGGTTAGGCGTCCTGATAGTAGAACCAATCAACAGCCACCGGAAGTAGGGATACTGAGTGACTCACAGCGCACCATTCTCGTGCCAAAATACAGCTAGAACCAAAAAAACTACATTAAACCTACGTAACTCGGGTTATCTTGGGGAGAGGGGTGACCTTATTATGGCGTACAAGATCACCCATCAAGCAGACCAAGCAAACAAACCAATCTTGCATGCGACTCAGTGGTCTCCACCAGGAAACCCTATTAAGATAGCACACCAGACAGCCAACAACATACTCGGGCCCAATTTTATCTCCCTGAGAGTACATGCTTTATAGAATGCCTTACCGCGACATATCGTCATAGCTCCCTCAGTCGACTCATTCAAGAGACCATTAGACAGTTATATCACCTCGCATGGTCCGCCGTGGACGTACTCAGGTAGCCACCAACCTCACTGGCCCACCCCAGCTACCTCCTATCTGCCACCCACTACCTCTCTCCCT